ACTGGAAGGTGCAGAGGAGTGAATTCTTTCCGTGGGGAGGGGGGGGACTCCTTCAGCTGCTTTTCCACCCCTGGAATCCCTGCCTGGCTCGGGCTGGGCTGCCCTGGGGGTGTTTGGGGTTCTCACTTGCTGCACATCCAGCCTTTGGCTCCACTGTTTGGCTACTTAAGGTCCCTCTGCCTGTTTCTTTGGGGTTTTTTTTGGTTTTTGGGGTTTTTTTGTTTGTTTGTTTGTGTATTTTGGGGGGGTGGGGTTTTTTTGTTTGTTTGCTTTTTGGTTTTTTGTTTTTTGGGGTTTTTTTTGTTTGTTTGTTTGGGGTTTTTTTTGGTTTCTTGGGGCTTTTTTGTTTGGGGCATTTTTGTTTTGGTTTGGTTTTTTTGGTTTTTTTTTTGTTTGTTTGGGGTTTTTTTGTTTGTTTGGGGTTTTTTCATTTTTGGGGGGTTTTTGTTTTTGGTTTGGTTTGGGTTTTTTTGGGTTTATGTTTGTTTTTGTTTGTTTTTGTTTGGATTTTTTTGGTTTTTGGGGTTTTTTGGTTTGTTTCTTTGTTTGTTTTGTTTTTTGGGGTTGTTTTCCTTTTCGGGGGGGGTTGGTTTTGTTTTGTTTTGGTTTTGGCTTTTTTGGTGGGGGGAGTGGTTTTTCTTTTCCCATCTCCTTGCTCCCAGTACAGCTCCAGCTCTGCCTGGAGAATTCCCCCAGGAGGAGGGAACCATTTACAGATGCCTGTGTCCCTGTTTCTGTTTGTTTGGACAGATTAACCCCTCCTGTCACCTCCCTGCTCTGGCTCACCCTGCTGGAGACCCAAATTCCTGCTCAGCCTTTTCCCCAAGGTTCCTGACACTGCTCAGTCCCAATGAAACCTGAGGCAATGGGGACCTGGCTGCATTTTTTTCCAGCCCCCACTTTAAGACCTGCTCCATCAATTTTTGCTCTGGATCAATCAGATAAAGCAAATCAGCCTTGATTACCCACAGAGGAGTTTGGTTCTTCCCCTCCTGAGGATCAGATCCTTTCTGGCACCAGAGGAATTTTCATGGCCAGACAGAATCCCTTCAGTGGAGCTTTTTTTTTCCTTTGTAGGGATTAACAGGTTTTTAAAGTCCAGAAAAAGCAGGCAGCACACTCTGGAGCGTGGGTGCTTGCACAGCCATTGTGTGTTGGAGCCTTATCTCAGCTGTCTTTTTCCAAAATCAACTTGTTTGACACATTCCTGGGTGATAAATGTTCCGTGCTCTCTCAGCTTTGTTTGTTTCTGTGAAGGACAGTGCATTTTCAGGGTGTTTTTACAGTGGATTTTAGCACACTTCCTGCTGGAGGGGATTCCTGCTGCCAGCAGGGATGGAGCCTCGCTGCTCATTGCTCATGCATGACATTATCTATGTAAATAAGAAAATCTAATTATTTCTGACTCCTGGCATCGTGACAAGAGAGGGAAGCTGAGCAAATGGAGCCTGCAGCAGCTCTGGCCTTTGCAGCTGATGGAAACCCATCCCCAGCAGAGCTGCCCCCTTCACCTCTCTTGTCCTTGGTGTTGCTCATCCTGGGGCAGGAGCAGTGCTGGGAGGGGAAAATGGGTTTGGAATTGTGGAGCCATGGGATGGTTTGGGTTGGGAGGGACCTTAAAGGTCACCTCACCCACCCTGCCATGGGCAGGGCACATCCACTGTCCCAGGTGCTCCCAGCCCTGTCCAGCCTGGCCTTGGGCACTGCCAGGACCTGCCTGAGGGTTCTTACAGGCTCTGGAAGCGGCCAGAAAAGCACCAGGGGGAGAATTCTGGGAATGAGGAGTGGGAGCCATCCCCTGGAGCTGCAGCATTGTTCAGGTGCTGTCTGCACCCCTCAGTCTCCTGTGCTCCCCTTGTGTGTGACGGTGTTCACAGGGGTTCTCGGATTGGGGAAGAGATGAGGATCTGACTCCATGTTTCAGAAGGTTTGATTTATTATTTTATGATATATATTACATTAAACTATACTAAAAGAATAGAAGAAAGGATTTCATCAGAAGGCCAGCTAAGCTAAGAATAGAATAGCAAAGAATGATAACAAAGGCAGCTGTCCCAGACTCTCTGTCCGAGCCAGCTGACTGTGATTGGCCATTAATTACAAACATCCAACGTGGATCAATCACAGATGCACCTGTTGCATTCCACAGCAGCAGATAATCAATGTTTGCATTTTGTTCCTGAGGCCTCCCAGCTTCTCAGCAGGAAAAATCCTAAGGAAAGGATTTTTCATGAAGAGATGTCTGTGACACTTGTGCTTTGTTGTCTTGGGCCATGGGAAAAGCCCCACTGGACAGCAATCCCCACTGGAATTTCTGCTGAAATTCCTGCCTAAATTCCCAGATTTAGGTGTGGACCAAGGCAAACCTGCCCAGGGAAATGCTGCAGGTTGCCCACCTCTCCCTTGCAGGAGGGAAGGGGTTTCCTGCTCTCTCCTGCCTGTCAGCTCAAGGGTTTCTATTGCTGGATTTGGCAGCACTGAAGGAGCTGCAATTATGTTAATTTAGCTTTTTGATTAAAGTCAGCTTTTTGTTAGAAAATAAACTTCCTTGTTGAAAAATACCAGCTCTAGAGCAAATGGAGAGAGGAGCTGGGTTTCCTGCTGCTTCACATGCTCCATGCCTGGGCTAATTTAAGATCACTTGTGATGAATTTATTCCCCCAAACTGTATTCTTTTTATTATTACTCACTAGCATATGTTTGTTAAACATTTCAATATTCCCACACCCAGAGCTTATTATTTCAGCCATTTGTAACCTACCCACCCAGCAGTGATTTCACTTTGGCAGGCCCAGAACCAGAACAACCCTTCCTTACCTCTGCCAGCAGAACTGGTGTGATCCATTCATCTTTTTAGCAATCATCATTCAGGCACAATCCTCAGCAGCAAACACGCTGGGATTGCTGATGCAAAGGCAAAACTTGATCATTCTCTTGCCAGATGGGAGATAATTGCTCAGGGCAAGGAACGGAGCTCCAGCCTGGGTGCTGGTCCCAATCTCACCAGAGAAATCCCCTGTTCCCAGGCTGTTCACCCTCAAAATAGGAGAAGATTGAATAGAGGGGGATTTTGTGACAAAGGCTGCCAGATTTGGCTCTTCTTGGCACGTCACAGACATCTTTTCATGACAAATCCTTTCCTTAGGATTTTTCCTCCTGAGAAGCTGGGAGGCCTCAGGAACAAAATGTGAACATTGATTATCTGCTGCTGTGGAATGCAACAGGTGCATCTGTGATTGGGCTCATGTGGTTGTTTCTAATTAATGGCCAATCACAGTGAGCTGGCTCAGATAGAGAGCAGAGCCACAAACCTTTGTGATCATTCCTTCCTATTCTATTCTTAGCTTAGCCAGCCTTCTGATGAAACCTTTTCTTCTATTCTTTTAGTATAGTTTTAATGTAATATATATCATAAAATAACAAATCAGCCTTCTGAAACATGGAGTCAGATCCTCATCTCTTCCCTCATCCTCAGACCCCTTTGAGCACGGTCACATTGGCACACTTTGAGAGGGAATGCACTGCAGATCAGAGCATTTCCCACCAGCAGTGTCCCAGCCCTGCTGCCAAGGGCCCAGAACTGAGGAGAAATGAGGAGCAATGCTGGGCTGAGCTGCCTGACCCCCTCCCTTTCCCTGCAGGGCAAGGATGGAGCTGCCTCTGAGTGGATCCAGCCCTGTTCCAAAGCATTCACTGAGCCTGGCAGGAGATTTGGCTCCTCCAGGAGGTTCTTGCTCGTGCTCTTTGCAAGCTGGAGTTGGCTTGGCTTTAGTTCCTCTCTGCTTCAAAAATGCATTGGCAGCTTGCACAAGTCCCCCGTGATGCAGCCCCTGGCCAAGTCAGGGAGAGGCACAGGGGGTGACCCAGCCCTGCATTGCAAACTGGGATAAATCACCCAGCCCTGGAGTTCAAACTCCGATCAATGACTCAGCCCTGGGTTTCAAATTGCCAGAACCCTGTGACCATTTTGCTGTGCCCTGCTCTTGGTAGCACGCAGCCCCTGGATTCAGTAATTTCAGGGGAAAGGGACAGAGGGACAAAGCCGTGGTGTGGCTCCCCAGGGGCTTTTTCCCTGCTCTCATGTGGTTTGTAGGGGTGGAGTGAGGGGAGTTTGGCTTCTGGCTTTCCCTTTGATAAATGAAGGGGTTGTTGCTCTCCTGGGGTTCAGGGATGGGATTGGAAACCCAAACAAGCATAAAAAAAGATTTTCCTGTGGTATTGGAGCTGCCAGGAGGAACTTGAGGGACCTTCATTGCCACAAAGCTCAGTTTTGCAGGTGATGGTGCTGCAGAGCAGGTCCTGGAGCTTTGGGAAGTGCTCTGAAACGCTGCCAGCACCAACCCTTTTGATCAGGGATCTGTTTCACTGTCTGCTAATGGCTTTTGTCTCCTTAAACCAGGGAGTCTGTTCTCTGAGAGAGCAGCTTGAAGCATTTAGGACTCATTAGGCTTCAAAGGAAAGAGGCCTGTACCATAACCAGAGGGGAGGAAACGGAGTGGCAAGAGGATCCCATTAATGGAGAACAAAAATAAACCCCAGACAGGAAGGAAAATTCTATAGGTCTGACTCAGAGCTGCAGACACTGTGGCTTCCAGGAGCTGCACAGGGAAAAACCCTCTGGGCTTGGCTGCTGCCACACTGGAGCTGGGCACCCTGGACAATGGCACAAGGGATGTCCTGCAGTGTTTGCCAGGGATTCTGTCCAGCCCAGGCTTGCACAGCAGCAAACAGAGGGGTGTGATTTGTGTGGGGGATGCTCCTCATCACTGGTGAGAGACCAGGGGGATGCAGTTTGCTGGGGGCTGTTTTCTCTTGTCTCTCCTGGAATGTCCTTGCACTTGAACTGTGCCTGATTCTGGGGAGGCATTTAATCTGTGTGTGGGCTTTTTTTGGGTATGGTGCTTTTGGGAACAAGAAGGGGTGCAGGGAAGAGGTCCTGACAGAGTGATCCCAAAGGGTGCTGAGCTGACCTCGTGTCCCTGTCTGCTCTGGTGTTTCAGGGAAGATTCTCTTCCGCCGGAGCCACATCCGCGACGTGGCGGTGAAACGGCTGATCCCCATCGATGAGTACTGCAAGGTAAGGGCATCCAGATCACAGGGTCACACAGGATCAGAGGATCACACAGAATCACACGCAGAATCACTCAGGATCACAGAATCACACAAGGAATCACAGAAAGAATCCCACAGAAAATCACACAGAGAATCACAGAATCACACACAGGATCACACAGGATCACACAGAACCTCACAGAATCACACAGGATCGCACAGGATCACACACAGAACTCACAGAATCACCAGGTTGGAAGAGACCTTCAAGATCGAGTCCAACCCAGCCCCAGCACCACAACCAAACCCTGGCACCCAGTGCCACATCCAGGCTTTGTTAAACACACCCAGGGATGGGGACTCCACCACCTCCCTGGGCAAAACATTCCAGAACTTTATCACTCTTTCTGTGAAAAACTTTTTCCTGATATCCAACCCTTGGTGCAGCTTGCACCTTGCTGCTGGGCTCTGCCTGCCTCCTGTCCCTTCTCCAGCTGCAGAGCAGAGCCAGCTCTGGAAGGGCTGGGCAGGACCTGGCTGTGTCCATCACCACAGGTCTGCACTGAAATGGCTCCATGCAGGACTTGGTTTGAGAGCCTTTCCTTTCCCATCTTTTGGGAAAACTCCTCCTGTTTGATGTGGCAGACAGCACTTGAGGCTGTGGGATGGTGGGGTGGCTCCAAACTGGGATGCAGGCTCCAGTTACTGGTTACAAAACCAGGGTAAGATGAGTTGTACCTCAGAAAATTATTGGAACAGAGAGAAGGCTGAGACAATTTGCTCCATACCCTTGAAGGATATAAAACTGGGCTGAAGTGTAAGGGAAATTATGATTTTTAGGGCAGATTTTTTTTTGGCAGGGAAAACAAACTTCTTAAGTCCACGATGAACTATTTTCACACAAATCCAGTGTGTCACATCTCATCATGTCAAAAACATGCTTTAGTGCTTGCAGCAGCCATGGTAGGACTGGCACCTCCAAAATCCAGTCTGAGTAATGTTGAAAATTTATGCAAAGACTGTAAAACCCACGGGGGAAGATGGGAAAATGGTAAAATCCCCATGGCATCCCTGAGGTGAGGGAGGTGTGGCAGTGCCTGTGTGTGGTGGGGGAGGCTCTGGGGTTTGGGGCTCAGCCAGGGAGGAATAACAACCCCAGGTGTGATGGTGGTCACAGGGGTCTTATGTTGAAGGAAGAGATGAGGATCTGACTCCATGTTTCAGAAGGCTTTATTTATTAATTTATGATATATATTACTATATATATTAATTTTATATTTATTAATATAAAATTTTATTAATATAAATTATTTCTATTTAATAATATAAATTATTTATATTTATTAATATTATTATATTAAAACTATACTAAAAGAATAGAAGAAAAGGTTTCATCTCAGAATGAAACCTTTGCTAAGAATAGCAAAGAATGATCACAAAGGTTGTGGCTTGGACAGAGAGAGAGCCAGCTGGCTGTGATTGGCCATTAATTAGAAACAACCACATGAGACCAATCCCAGATGCACCTGTTGCATTCCACAGCAGCAGATAACCATTGTTTGCATTTTGTTCCTGAGGTCTCTCAGCTTCTCAGGAGGAAAAATCCTAAGGAAAGGATTTTCCATAAAAGATGTCTGTGACACCCAGGGATGGAGATGGGTTGGGAAATGCATCCTGACAGCTCTGCAGAGGGGCTGCAGATGAGAATCACAAGGTGGGGTGCAAGGTGTGCTCTGAGCTGTCCTGGGGGAGCTGATGGTGCTTGGCCACTGAGCTGTGTCGCTGCACAGACAGACACAGCCATAAATCCCATTTTGGGCAAGAAAACGTCCCTCAGTGATGAAATGCTGCAGCTGCCTCTTGCAGAGCAATGCCATTAGTGGCATCAAATATAATGAAGCCATTTTCCTTAACAAGAGGAAGGTAATGGCTGATGTTCTGTGACCCACTTAGGGAGCTGTGCTTTAATGCATCACCCAGCAGTGCCCAGCTCTCCCCCTGGCCTTGAGCTGCTGCTGCTTACCCGGAAAGCAGCTGGGCTGAGCTGGCTCTGGGGCTGAGCAGAGATGGGAAATGAGCTGGGGATTAGCAGGAGGAAGCTGAGAGAGGAAGGTTTTCTTTATTGCCATCGTCTCCTCTGGGGGAAGTTGGGTGTTTTCGTTCTCTGGGAGAGCCCTGCAAAGAGGATGGGTGAGATTTGGGGTGGAAGCAGGGAAGAGGAGCAGGGAGGGGAGCACTGCTTTCACAGGGCTCTGTTCCAGCTCCTGCTGAACTGGAAACGTGGCAATTTAAGGTAAAGTGCAGGAAAAGCAGTGAAGGAATCAGAGCAAACTGGTAGGAGCGATGAGTTGCTAAATGAGACTTGGGACAGCCATGGATTGGCAAGGAGAGGGAGCAGAGGCCTGAAATGTCTTCTCATTCCTCCAGTTTATTCTCTTTGGCCTTTCCCATGGTGTGGGATCTGCCTTCCTCCTGTCTGAGGGATTTTGGGGAAGTGTCAGAGGGGGGTGATGGAGGAGTGGTGATGCTCTACCCCAAAGAGACTGGGTGGCCCCCTGAGAATTCTGCTGCCCTGAGAAAGGCAAGAAAATCCTTTCTCACTGCCTGCAAAATGGGTTTTAACCCAACAAGGATCCTCTGTCTTTGGTCCTTTCCCCTCAGGCCTGCAGGAAGGATGGGAAAGGTGACTTTAGTGTGGCTCCAGCACCAAAGCTGTGCCCTGCTTTGGGGGGCAGGGCCAGAGGTGGGACAGACAGACACCAGGCAGGGCCAGAGGTGGGACAGACAGACACCAGGCTGTTTGTGCCTCTGTTTCTGTGGCCAGCAGGACAGCTGTGGCCTGCTTGGCTCAGCAGAGCCAGCTCTAGGTGGGCTTCCTTCCAAACGTGCTGGAAATGAGCTGTGGGCCCTGTGTCTCCTCCTTCCAGCCCAGGGTGTTCTCTGGGATCATCCCCTCCTTCCAGAAGGCACAGAGCCTTCTCCAGGCCACAAAACCCAGGGATTTTGGCAAGGGGAAATCACTTAGATCATGGGATGCTGGAGCTGGGGAGTGGTACCACATGGGAATGGCATGCACACAAAACCTGATATTTGAATAGCCCTTCCCTGGGCCCAGCAGCCATGGATGGAGTGGTTTTCTCTGTGCTGTGTCTCACATGATGCTGTTCAGTCTGGCCCATGATTAGTGGGCTGACAGGCTGCTGTGCTGGCACCGAGGCACGGCTGCTCATGGCTGGAAGGGCTTTGGGCCAGCCCTTGGGGCAGTGAGGAGCCACATCTGATCTCTGTGGCCACCCCAGGGCTCTGCTGCTGTGGTTTTGTGTGCAGGACAGAAATGAGGGGAGGTTTGCTGTGCCCACGCTGCTGTCACGGGACTGCAAACAGAGGGGAGGGGGAATTGCACAGAAATCTGGGTGTAAATCTGCTCCAGCTCAAGCTGCAGCTCTGCTCCCTGATCTGAAATACTCCCTTTTCCCACTGCCCTCCCAGCCAGGCACTCTCACCCTGCAGTCCCACTGTTGAAGCTTTTTTACAACAGATTCCTTGAAGGGAAAGAAGCAGAGGGAATTTTCCATCTCCTGCAGCACAGCAGCCTCCCAGCCCTGGTGTCTGTGCTCTTGCCTCTTCCTTCTCTCCCTGCCCCTTCCCAAGCTGCCATTGCCCAAAGGAGCATTTTTAGGCTGTGCTGGGGTGGCACTGAGAGCCTGCCACATGTAAAGTGCCCAGCCTTTCCCAGGGATGGGAAATGGAGCTGGGAGGCTGGATAGGATCTCAGCCTCTGGCACAACATCTGTCCCAAAGGCTGGAGCTGTCTGGGGCAGTCTGTGCTTATTCTCCTTCAGTCTGACTGCAGCAGGGTGGGTGGTGGGTGGGAGAGGGGCTCTCTGGGTCTGGTGCTGGGAACCCCTTGGGTGCCACTGGTGTCCCAGGTCCCTGCACTGGGTTCCTGGCACAGTGTGGATGCTGCTATCAGCAGTGTGTGTGTGTGTGTTTGCTCCCCAGGCTCTGATCCAGCTGCCCCCCTACATCTCCCAGTGTGAGGAGGTGCTGCAGTTCTTCGAGACACGGCCCGACGACCTGAGCCCCCCCAAAGAGTGAGTGGGTGGGTGTGCCTCTGCTGGGGGGGACAAACTGGGAGGGGGGGAGACACACTGGGATGGTGGGGATGCAAACTGGGATGGTGTGGAGGCAAACTGGGAGGGTGGGGAGAGACTGGGATGGTGAGACACAAACTGGGAGGGTGGGGAGATACAAACCATCACTGGGATGGTGATGACACAAACTGGGATGGTGGGGAGAGATGAACTTTGATGGTGGTGAGATACAAACTGGGATGGTGAGAGACAAACTGGGATGGTGGTGAGACACAAACTGGGATGTGATGAGACACAAACTGGGATGGTGGTGAGACACAAACTGGGATGGTGGTGAGACATGAACTGCCTTGGGCTTGCTGATCCCCAGCACTCTGGTGTTCGTGAGCAATTCCCTTGTGAGTCACAGGTCTGGGATTTGGACACTTTGGTCCCACTCTGCAGCTCAGTGTGGGCACCCTTCTCCAGTGGGGAAGTGGAAACACTTCTCTGTACTCCATGAAGTGTTGGTCTCTTCTTGAGCCTCTTTCTCCTTGCAAATAGCACTCAGGAGCATGATCAGCCTGAAGAGCCTCACTTCACACAGTTGCACCAACCTCTGGCTCCTTGGAAGGGCATTTCCCTCCCCATATCCACGAACCCCATCCATAACAACACTCCAGAGCCTCTCCATGCAAACCCAGGGAGGTTTGCAGGGAACCTTACACAACTCAGTGTGGCTCTGAGTCTTGTGACTGTGAGCTGCTCTGGCCAGGAGCCACCCATCCATCTCCTGCTGATCACGAGCAGCAGGAATCTGAGCAGCCTCCTGGGTGTGCTGCTCTCCCTTCCCTGCTGCCTGTGACAGGGCTCTGAGCACTGCAGGAGCCTGACTGACTGTCAGGGGAGAGGCAATAAATTCATTTGACACCACTCTCTATTGGCAGGGTGTGGAGGTAGATAAAGGGATTTTGTTTTTTTCCCCTGAGCAGCAGCTGAGCCTGTCAGGTCTCCAGCTCAGTGCTGTGCTTGTGTGTTCTACATCTTCTCCCTGGGTTTTTGATTATTTTATTCCCTCTCTTAATTCTCCCTTCCCCCATCCCTGCTTTCCTCCTTTGGCTCCTGTTTCTATTGCCTTGGCCTGTCATCATTTCTCTGCAGCTCGTGGTCACTGATGAGATTGGTCTGAGAGCCCCAGAGCCCATTAACTAATTGCTTGCTGTCTCTGATGCTGTCATCTGTCCTGCCCAGCTATTGCTCACCACTTAACCTGCTGCTCCCGGGGTCATCCATCCCTCAGGGAAGGTCATTCCTTTGGGAACGTCATCTCTAAGGAAAGGTCATCTCTCAGGGGCAAGCAAGGGACACCAGGACAAGATGAGCTTGCAAGGACATCAGAGGGGGTGTATTATAGGGTAGGGCTGTTTTGGGATGTCTGTGCAGGGATCTTTGGGCCCTGCATGAAGAGGAGATGATCTGCAGTAGGAGTCAGGTCTTGGAGTAGGAGTCAGGTCTGTACCCTCTCTCTTCACCTTTATTTTGGTTTTTAGGCTGAGCCAGAAATGAGGCAGGGTGGGCACTGTGGCCAGAGCACTCAGGTGTCTGGGGACACCTTTGGGGCAGCCCTGGGAGCTGCTGTGCTTGCAGCCCTCTGTCCTTGCAGCCCTCAGTGCCAGTGTCCTGTCACCTCCCTGCTTTGGGTGTGAGACACAAGGGACCGCCTGGAGCCCAATCCCAAACATGATTTTATGGTGGGACAATCCACAGGGTCCTGGGTACAGAATTCTGTGAGTTTGTGACACAGTTTTGAGCACTGCAGGGTGAGCAGTTGACGCTGAATCCAGTGGTGGTCATGTTGCCTGCCCCTCTCCATCGGGAGTGTGCTGCTTCCCTGCCTGTCCCTCTCCATGGGGAATGTGCTGCTTCCCTTTCTCCCCCTCTCCAGGAGGAGATCCAAGCTTGCAGCCCACAGAGGGACCCAGTGGGTGCCCCTTGTCCCTTTCCCTCCATCAGCCAAGCCCTGCAGCATCCCAAGGACATCCCCGTTGTGTCCCCCATCCCATTCCAAATGCCAGAGGAGTATTTATTAGCTGCAATTCAAAATGCTAATGAATCCAAGTCCTTGGCTGTGTCCTCTGGAGGGGCTGGGAGCCCATTCCCAAGGCCTGGAGTGCTGCCAGCTCAGCACTAAGGAGATGGGAGCTGTGATAGACGGCTGGGCTGGATCAGATGTGACGGCGTGTCTGGGGCTGGCCCGGATGTCATCCCTCATCCAGCACAGAAACATTCTGCTCTGGGAGGCTGAAAGGGAGCCAGAAAGGAACAGAGTGGGGGAAAGGGCAAAAGAAAAGGGAAAAATAAAAGGATAATATTTTTATGCTGGGTGGCTGAAAGGTGGGGATGAGGGAGCGGAAAAGGACCGGTCAGCCACTCTCATGGAGCCCTCCTGCTCCCTGTCCCTTCGCTGGGCATCCCTGGCTGACCCCTCTGCCCACCCCTGCCCACGAGGGTGGCAGTGGAGGGGACGTGCCTGTGAGTGCTGTTGGATCCACCCTGTGCTTGTCCTGTCTGGGGCAGATGAGGCTTCACCCAACTCACTGCACCCCAGGGTGTCAAACCCTGCCAGGGCCAGGGCTGCAGCCCTTGGAGCTCTGCTGAAGTGCAGCCCTTGGAATTCTGGTTCAACTGCAAGTCATGGAATTCTGGTTTAATTGCAGTCCCTGGAATTCTGGTTTAACTTCAGTTTGTGGAGCTCTGGTTTAACTGCAGTCCTTGGAATTCTGGTTTAAATGCAGTCCTTGGAATTCTGATTTAACTGCAGCCCTTGGAATTCTGGTTTAACTGCAGTTCATGGAGCTCTGGTTTAACTGTAAGTCGTGGAATTCTGATTTAACTGCAGTTTGTGGAGCTCTGATTCAACTGCAAGTCATGGAATTCTGATTTAATTGCAGTTTGTGGAGCTTTGGTTTAACTGCAGTTCATGGAATTCTGCTTTAGTTGCAGTTCATGGAATTCTGGTTTAACTGCAGTTTGTGGAGCTCTGATTTAACTGAAGTTCATGGAATTCTGATTTAACTGCAAGTCATGGAATTCTGATTTAACTGAAGTTCATGGAGCTGTGATTTAACTGCAGTTTATGGAATTCTGATTTGTGTGCAGTTCAAGGAATTCTGATTTAACTACAATTCATGGAGCTCTGGTTTAACTGCAGTTCTTGGAGCTCTGCTTTAACTGCAAAGGGTGAATTGAGTCCTTGGTTCTGGCAGTGTTTGGGAATGGAAAGAGGAGCTTGGACAGCCCCAGCCTTTCTCTCCAGGCCCCTGTGGTGTTGTTTTCCCCAGAGCTGGGGCTCTCCCTGGGCTGAGCCAGGGCTCTCCTGCTTCTCCTGCCCCCTTCAGCTGCCCTGTGCTGCACATCACGAGCAGTGCTCAGCCCTTCTCAACCTCCCCCTGCTCTCCAAGGGAGAGGAAAAGGCTCAAACTCTGACTTTATTCCTCCTCCTTGCACCACTGCTCCCAGCTGGGCAGGATGTCACAGCCAGGAGGGGAGTGAGACAGGAATCTCAGCATTTGGGGGTGGAAGAGGGAGGTGAAGCCCTCCTTCCATCCCCTCTTTTCCCCAAATTTTCCTGTGTCCTGGAGAGGCCACATCAAACAGGAGAGCAGGGGGAGGTGGCAGGGGTTCTATTGGCAGTGACAATTGGTGGCCTTTGTGATGTGGATCCCTGGCTGGGATTACCCCACTGCTTCCAACTCACGGGGCTGCCCAGTGTGGGGCAGAAGGAGGCTGAATCCAGAGGAATTTGTGAAGAGCAGTGAGGGGAGGAGGAGAAGAGAAATGCTTATGGAAAAAGAAACCTCTGGAAAGTCAGCAATCTGGGGGATGTGGGATTTTTCCCCTCGGTGCTGGATGGAAGCCCTGCAGCTTCAAAGAGCAGAAGTCATCAAATTCCTGCTCCCCACGTCTCTCAGCAGGCCTGGGCAGCACAGGATGCTGAGCTGGGAGCTGCTGTGTGCCCCCCCCCAGCCCTTTGCTGCTTTTAACCACAGCAGAGGTGCTGGAGGAGGCTGGGGAGGTCTGAGGGGTGGGCACGGAGCCACTGCTGAGTCAAGGCATTCAGCTGCTCCCTCTCCAGCTCAGTTCCAGCTCTGGGACATCAGGGAGCCCCGGTTAACTCTGCAGAGAAGCAAGGCCCTAATAGTCATTAATAAATTATTAATATTAATGACGAACTAGTTATTAATATTACCAAGCAGTTATTTGTTCACTGCCCACAGTTACAAGTGGTTAACTCTGTAAAGAAGCAAGGCCCTATTTGTTATTAATAAATTATTAATATTAATGACGAACTAGTTATTAATATTACCAAGCAGTTATTTATTCACTACCCACAGTTACAAGTGGTTAACTCTGTAGAGAAGCAAGGCTCTAATAGTCATTAATAAATTATTAATATTAATGACTAACTAGTTATTAATATTACCAAGCAGTTATTTGTTCACTGCCCACAGTTACAAGTGGTTAACTCTGTAAAGAAGCAAGGCCCTATTTGTTATTAATAAATTATTAATATTAATGACTAACTAGTTATTAATATTACCAAGCAGTTATTTATTCACTACCCACAGTTACAAGTGGTTAACTCTGTAGAGAAGCAAGGCTCTAATAGTCATTAATAAATTATTAATATTAATGACTAACTAGTTATTAATATTACCAAGCAGTTATTTATTCACTGCCCACAGTTACAAGTAGGGTGTGGTGGGAAGGGGCTGTTGTGCTGTTCCCACCCTGGCCATGAGAAACCTCTTCAATTTAAAGCATCTTTCTCTGGGATTTCTGGGGAGCTGAGCAGCCCATCGTGTATAAAACACTTATAAAAGTTGTTGCTTTGAACTTTGTCCCTGCTCAGGGATGGAGGGGCTGCAGGAAGCCACTCCAGGAGCTTTTGCTGCTGGACCAGAGACCCATGGGTTGGTGGATGATGCTTTGGATAAGGATTTTTGCTGGCTTGTGGCTTTGGGGTCGTGTCCTGCTCTGCAGACAGATCCCAGCTCGTACACAGAGTTGTTTGTTCTGCATTTCTGCTGATCCCCACCAGGAGCTCAGGCTGGATCCCAGCTCCAGAGCAGCCTCCTCCTCTTTCTGTGAGAGCTGGCTGTCCTGGCTGACAGCAGGCAGAAATACCAATTTCTGCAGAGCCCTGCAGAGTGCCAGCTCCTGGGCAGGCTCTGGCTTTCCTGAGCCCCAGGGCTCAGCTTGGCCAGCCCTGCAGTGACCCTGCAGTGTGGGGACAGGGGCTCCTTTCAGTGCTGCTGGAGCATTTGCTAAACATCACTTCTCCCCAACAAGGGCTCTCTTGTCCCCTGCTCCTTGCCTCCATAAACCTTGCAAACATCTCCAAGCTGGCTGGATGCTTAGGAGATGAAGCCCTTTCTGACAGCTATTTTGGTGGCATTACTGTGTTACAGCACAACTTTTTTTGCAAGAGAGGTTTTTTTTTTTTATGTGAGGGAGATGTTTTCTTGGAATGCTGACCTCAGATCCGTCCTGTTTGATGTGGCTCCTGTGTGGGTTTGCAGCAGCTGCAGTTGTTTTCCTCCTGTTGGGTTTCCAGTCCTTCACCTATTCCACCAGCAGGGCCAGTGCTGAGGTCCCCAAAGCCACATCTGGGGGCACTTTTCTGCTGTGAGTCCCACTGCAAGGTGGCTTTTTCTGGGTAACAACCTCAGGGCCGCCTCCCTGCAGCTCTGGGACCTGCCTGGCCCAGCAGCCACCAAATGTGCCTTAGGAAAGAGTTTACAAACTCAAGCCAGCTTGTAACAACTCTTCTTTAGACCTGGCTTTAGAATTAATGGCTTTTAGTTAACATTTCTTGCCTGAATTATGACCCTGTAAGTCCATGAAGAATTTCAGTGTCCCCAGCATCCTGCAGTGAGTAGTTTAACAGGTTGTTGAAATGCAGCCTCTTTGTACTTGCTTTTAATTTATTTTTAAAGTCTGCTCACTTTGCTCAACCTCTGTGCTCCCCCTCTCACTCCTTCCCACCCCTGGATCCTCAGGGATGCTGCCTAGGGAAGATGCTTGAGAAACCCGACTCTCTTTTCCTAAAAAAAACGTGGCATGTGGAGATTATTGAATGTGCAAAGAGTTCTCCATGTGTCAGAGTTTCCTTTCAGGGCATTGTGAGGTTCTTGAAGGACACTGAGCTGAGCCCACTGAGCCTGTGGTGTTGGCTCAGAGCTTTAAGTGAGGCTCCAGTCACACAGCAACCTTTGCCTTCAGCGCTCTGGGAAGCAGCTGGAGAAGCATTCCTGGCTTTTTCCACCTCTGAGGGGCTGCTTGGTGTCCCCCTGTCACAGCTCCTAGCTGTGCTGTGGCTGCTGGGGGCTGGAGCTAAATGGGATCTACAGTGCAAGGCAGAGGGGTTTTTCCTCCCCTTCTGCTGGAGCCATGGGTTTCCATGGAGCTGCGCATGTGAGCTCTGCTCTGCCCTTCTCTGCTCCGCAGGGATCTGAGGAGGAGGAGCTGCTGCCAGGAGTTTAGTGCTGTTTCCTGTCTTGTCTGAGCTCCTGTCCCCTCTGAGGTGCTTGGGCCAGGGCTGCTGCTCCTCAGACCTGCAGCTCTTTGTGTCCCTGCCAGGAACATCCCAGCAGCAAAGTGGAATTGCAGCTCCTTCCTTGCCCCCTCGCTCCGAGGGAGCAGCCAGGGGAGGGAGGCAGGGGATGAGTTACAGTGATGGCTTTAGCAGAAGGCAGGGCAGGAACTCCAGTTATTCCCATCCCCACCTGCTGGTCTCCAGCCTGGCCTTGCCTCGCCTCCCTTCCCTGTGGCACCTCTGAACTGGGACAGTTTTAATGGGGACTATTAATTAACTCTGATTTAGCTCTGCAATGAGAAATCTTTGGGATGCTCTGTCCCAGATTCCCCTGTTGGTCTCTGCACCTGGGACATGGTGTTAAGGTCTCTGCACACTCTGTGATCTCTGAACTCAACAGGCTTCGGTTTCTGTAGCAATGTCCTGCTTGTTTCCACTCCATCTTGGTTATTTTATTTTATTTTATTTTATTTTATTTTATTTTGTTTTGTTTTGTTTGGTTTTATTTTTTATTGACACTCCCATGGATGAGTGCCCAAGGTGGTACCAGGTGCCTTGGTGGAAGTTGCAAGGCCAGGCCAGCAGCCAAGCTCAGCCTGGGAAGGACAAAACATCAAATTATGAAATGAAAGGAAGGGGCAGGGGCTGTTTGCAGGTGGGTGATGCCCATGGAGACAGTGGCTGGGTGAGGAGGGTCAGTGGCCCCACCAGAGCCAGCCCTGTGTGCGCTCCTGGGTGGGTTTGTCACTCAGCCAGCACCCCAACTGTCCCCTCACTCTGCTGACACTCTTCCTTCTCTTTTTCAGGGAGCCCATTGGGAAGAAGAGGTCTGGTAAGGACTCCTTTCCTCTCTGCTGCTTGCACCATCTCCTGCTCCCACCCGCAGGCCAGCTCTCCTGCTGTGGGGCCAGGTCCCTCCCCATGGCCCCCACCCCATATCCCTGAGGCTCTGTGGGGCCCCCACCCCATATCCCCTGACCCAAGGTGGCTCAGATGCCCACAGCTCCCAGCACTGCCCTGGAGGTGCTGTGAGCTCTGCTGTACCCCCAGAGCATCCCCTCCCTGCCTCATGCCTTTCTCCCCTCCTTTTCCTCATCAGGGATTATCCAGAGAACGGCCTCTTTCCTGCACAGAGGTACTAACAGCTGCTCCTGCCCTGCTCTGCTCTGCCTTTCTTGGGGACACTGCTCAGCTGGGGGGGCAGGAGGCTTGTCACCCTTGCCAGCAGCTGTCACATCCCCTGTGCCTTTCTGTGGTGGCTGGTGGACACGGGGTGGTGGCACAGGGGCAGGGCTTGGCTCTTGGTGCAGCTCCACGGGCAGGGGACGTGCCCCAGGTCCTGCTGAGGGTCTGCAGGGCTGGGGATGAAATATTTCAGGGGTTCAGGGGAATGTCTGAACTGCCTGGAGGGCAGTGTGGGGCTGGAGGTCTCCTGGTGCAGCTGGATGTTCTCCTTCACCATGGCACAAGCTGGGAGCCCTGGGAAGGTGGCGGGGTCTGGGATGCTCTGCCCTTGCTCCTCAGGAGAGGGGGACATCTCTGAAAAACCCCCTGGTTGGTGTGGTTTAGGGTTTTTGAGCTTCCCAGAAAGAGCAGGAGACAGGAGTGGAAGGGCCTTTGGTCTGTGGGTTAAGGAGGCGTCTTTCAGCTCCTGGAGCTGCAGAAGGTATAAAAATGATGTGAGGTTCTTTGGGAAGGAAGGTCTGAGCTTTGGCTGCATGGAGATCCTGCTGAAATCAGTGCTGGGAAGGATTTTGACCAGAAAACTGGCACTGGCATCACCCGTGTGAGCAAACCCCCTTGTGGGTAAGTGGGTTCCTCCTGCAGGAGGCAGGAGAGGCACAGGAGGACTCAAAGACTCCATTCCCTTTCCAGTGGAGATGCGGGTTATCCCTCCTCCAGGAGCTGATGTTTTCACTGAGGTTGGTGGTAGGGTGTGATGGTGTTTGCAGAGGTCCCAGGATGAGGGAAGAGATGGGAGTCTTGACTCCACGTTTCAGAAGGCTGATTTATTATTTTATGATATATATTATATTAAAAGAAAATTATATATTAAAACTATACTAAAAGAATAGAATTAAGGATTTAATCAGAAGGCTAGCAAGGAATAAAAAAGAATGATAAAATCTTGTGACTGACCAGAGAGTCCAAGACAGCTGGACTGTGATTGGCCATTAATTACAAACAACCACATGAGACCAATCACAGATGCACCTGTTGCATTCCACAGCAGCAGATAATCAATGTTTACATTTCGTTTCTGAGGCCTCTCAGCTTCTCAGGAGAAAAATCCTAACAAAAGGATTTTTCATAAAATACACCTGTGACAGTAGGAGGCAGGTGGGAAGCTCTGGTGTTGTAAGGGCTCCTGGTTTTGATCTGCTCTCATGGGCTGAGTGCTCTCCTGTGGGGCTCACAGGGTTTTAACCTGTTCAAACCTTTGGCAGCATTTTGTGCTCAGTCTCTGACTGCTCCCTGTCTAAGCAGGACATTGGGATGGGCATTTTAAACCCTCATGAGCCATTTGCCAGCACAGCCTGGCTCTGTTCTGAAGTGCTGGGGACAAGAGAAGGGGAGGCCTCTCTGGGGGTGAGAAGAAGAGAAAAAAAATTTCTGCTGCATAACTCAGTTCAATGAGGACAAAATTCACTTTAAGGACGCTGCCTGTTAGAGAAGCAGGAGTTCTCCAGTGAGAAGGAAGAGTTTGGATAACATCCAAGCTCTGGCAGGGCGGGATGTGCTGTTCTGCCCTGGCAGCAGCCACCAGGGAAAGGTGTTTGCTCTCAGTAACCTCACACAGGGCTGGTGCCTCGTGCCAGACATGTTCAGAGATTCATCTCACTGCCTTGCATTTCCTGGCAGCAGAAACAGAATTGGGTTCAGCTGCTGTCACCCCAACTCCTAAACCTTGAGGAAATCCCTGGTGGTTCACTGGGTCCCCAGGCCAGGCCTGGTTTGAGGTAGCAAATGTGCAGCAAGGCACAAAAAATACTCCTTCAATCCAGGATGTCCCTGAGGAGGGGTCATCCAACATCTGCTAACAAACAACAATCACGAGGATTGTCCAAAAAGCAATTTCCCAATTGCCTGAGAGGGGGTGAACTGCTCTTGAGCAGTGCTGGAAGGAGCTCTGAGGCGCTGGCAGTGCAAGCTGGGTTTGGAAATGGGATTTGAGCAAACACTGGGATGCAGAGTGGGGTAAAGTGCTGCTCCTGTGGTGACCACGGGACTCAGATGACACTTGGAGTTTCGAGGAGGGCCTGGTGTGTGTGTGAGCACTGGAAATAAAATCAGCTTTCTTTGCTCAGCTTTTTGTACAGCACTTGCAATCCCACCTGGCTGAGCCTGAGGCGTGGGCTCTGCACAGCTTGCAGGGGGTGGATCATCCCAGATTATCCCAGACTTGGGGCTCTGCCTTGGCCCCTGCTTTAGGTTTGTCTAAAAGCAGCCACGCCATCAGTGCCCTGCCTGTTGGAGCGTCTCTGTTCTCTCTGCCTCTCACAGAAAGCACAGATGGAGAGCCATGGCTTGGTGCAGGCGAGCCTGGAACTGCCTCCAGGGTTTCTATTTGGGTGGAGCTGCCCAAGGAGGCTGGCAGAGACCTCAAATGCCCCTTTGCCAGTTTGCTTTTAGCTGCTTTCTTGTGTGCCCACGTCCCTTTTGCTGTGCTGGGAAATGTCCCTGCAGGGTTTGGGCTGAGGAGAGGCACTGAAGGAGCCTCAGGGGAGCTGTGTGAAGCCCCACTGCTGGATGGGATTTCCATGTGATTGTTTTCCACATTCTGGAAGGATCCCTGGGGAGATGAGAGGGTTTGCAAAGAATTCAGCAGAGCCTTCAGGGCCCATTTCAGTGAGAGCAGGAGGAAGGTCCATCCCCCTTGCAGTTCTGATCCCAAACCCCTCAGGGCTGGGAGAAGAGGGGCTGCCCTCAGAGCTCCGGATCTGACCCACACAGGCAGAGGAGGAAGGGACTTCATCCAAAAAATGACATTTTTGAGAGATGCCTTGGAGATTAGGCCAAGGCTGGAATGTACAACAGGTTTCAAACCCAAATACCTGTGCCCCTAATTCAGTGCTGAGCTCTTTGTTTCCCTCTGGGAGCACCAGTGGCCAAGCTCTGTCAGGAATTCCTCACTTTTGAAGGAAAGGAAAGGAAAGGAAAGGAAAGGAAAGGAAAGGAAAGGAAAGGAAAGGAAAGGAAAGGAAAGGAAAAGGAAAAGGAAAAAGGAAAAATCACAAGCACTCCCATATCTGTGAGATTTCCTGCTGGGTTTGTACATCTCAGCCCTTGTGTGAAAGGCCAAGCTTCTGGCCAAACAAAACCTGCAAGGATTTTTGGGCAGGCTGAGGGTGAGGTCAGTGCTGTGAGCATTCCTGGGTCAGCTCTGGGATGTGCTGAGTGCCCCTCCTGCATCCAGGGCGAGCATCACTTCTGCCAGCCCAGCCCAAGGCCTTTGCCTCGATGGATTCCCCTTCTCTAGGCCACACTTGTGTCACTGTCCCACCCGAGGATGCCCAGCTCCTGCCTGAGCTGCCTGCACACCCTCTCTGGGGGATGAATTCCTCTTCCCCTCCCCAGCTCAGAGCTTTGGTGCTTCTCCCACCTCCCTGGGCAGCTTTACACCGCTGCTATTTTGGGGAGCCCAGGTGTGGCTGTGCTCAGGATGCTTTGCTCCCTCCAGGGTGTGTTTTTGTGGTTCAGGATGATTAGGGCAGGTGAAATGCTCCCGAAATGAACGCCTACCTCTTCCTCCAAGCTCGGTTTACCACTTCTCCTCTGGTCTAATGGGCACATTGGAGGATCCAGAATTGGCTGCTGAAACTACAAATAGCCTCAGAGGCACGGGTGTAATTACAGGAGGGAGGCAGAAAGGGGAGTACTTATCTTTTCCTGCAGTTGTTATTCTTCTCTCAGGGGCTGGGTAGATGCTCAGATCCCTTTAAGCACAAACCTTTAATTGAGCTGCTAGAGGAGATAGTCCCAGCATCCCCCATTCACTTTGGAGGGCTATTTTGAGCTCTGTCTGCTGCCCCACCTTTGTGTTTTGGTGTGGAGGAAGCTTTCCTGGGCAGGAACAGATCCTCTGCACTGGCCAGCTCACCTGGAGCTCTGCAGGGTGCTGCTTATGGACACGGACATTTCCTTCCTTTTCCTTGAAATAACACTGCCCTGCAGACACATTTCTATGCTGGTTGTGGTCTGGCATTCTCAGGAGCAGCTGGGAGAGGTTGTGACCTTGTGAACAGGGGAACTTCTCCAGGAGGCAGCAGGACGTCCTGGGAGTCCTGGGGACCTGCTAGATCTTGTCCTTCAGGATGAGGGTGGCACCTTAGCACACATCTTTCCTCTCAACCCCTCCTCTCATCTCTCAGTTTGTCATTACAAACTCTACTTTTTAACCCCCTGGAACATTTGAAACACCCCCTCCTGACTTTTCCTGGTCTCTGCACCAGGTGTGGCAGGTAAATACAGAGAATAAAGTGGACAATGAGAGTTCATATTAGCCCAGTAATCCTTGTAGATGGCTCCTGATAGCCAAGGTCTCCCATCCTTTTCTTCCTGTTGGGAAGCCCAGATCTCTGGGGCATTAAAGATCAATTTAAAAGATCAATTAAAAAATACTCCAGTGACCTCAAGTAACCCCTGGGTCAATTAAAAAAATGCTCTAATGACCTCCAGTGACCCCAGATGAACTAAAACAATGCCTCCCAGGGACTCCAGTGACCTCAAGGAACCCCAAATTACCTCAAGGAACCCCAGATGACCTCAAGTCACCCATACCAGGGCCTCTCATGGCCTCACACAACATTCCAATAGTGGTTGAATGAAATGCACCTGCTCATCTTTCCCCCTTAGCAAAAGAGCATTTGAACAATTGTTCCCCCTTTGGTATAAAATTCAAATCAGACAGAGAAGTGTCTGCTAGGAAACACAATTCTGGGTCCAGCAGGGGCTCTAGGTACAACAGCAGACCCTGACACCCTTAACAATCCCTTTCTGAAGTTCTTTTTTACAAATGGCACATACAAATGCTGTCCCGGTTATCCCACGTTGTCCCGGTTATCCCGCAGTGCCCCCTGCCGCCGTTCCAGCTCCGTTCCCGGCAGCTCCTGCCTCTCCTCTTGCTGCCACAGCAGCGCTTTGTTCCTGCTGTGTTCCCACTGTGTTCTGCCCTCCCTGCCCCTCCTCGGGGTGTTTTCCCCCTTTTTTGCCAGGAGACCAGGATGTGCAGCAGGGCAGGGAGCAGAGCAGACCAAGGGACTGAGCACAGCGGGGCTGGGAGGGCAGGGGATGTGCCCTGTCCTACAAACACCTCCATCCTACAAACCCTTCCCATCTGGGGCTCCTCAGCCCAGCAGAACCCGCTGCAGGCTCTGTGTTTTGGGGCAGCCGATGTGCTCAGGAGGGTCCCCAGAACCCCAGGGAGATCCAGCCCGCTGCGAGCTCCTGTGCTGGTGGAGGTTGCTTGGGTGGCTCTGGTGGGCAGCAGCAGGTGTCACCTGGCTGTCCCCACCTCACCTGGCTGCTGGTTTGATCTCTGTGCCCCTCACTCTGCCCCAAGCTCTGGCTCACCCCTCTCACGCCGGGGTCCCCGGGGTGTCCTGGAGCTGCTGGGTGGCGCTGGCCGTGCCCTGGGGACAGTGCTGACCTGGCACACGGGTCGGTTTTGTCCCCCTCCCTGTGCAGGAGCTGACTGTGCCTCGGCTGAGCCGCTGGTGCTGGAGCAGTATGTCGTGGTGGCCGACTACCAGAAGCAGGAGAGCTCGGAGATCAGCCTGAGCGTGGGCCAGGTGGTGGATATCATTGAGAAGAACGAATCAGGTACAGGGAGCTGGGCTCTGTGGCTGCACAGGAGCACTCCTGGGCTGTCAGTGTTCTCCTGAAGCAGAACAGCCGTCAGGCATGCTGAGGTGGGATGTGAAGGAAGCAGCTCTGGTCTGTGAGCGTGGATGAGGCTGCAGGGCTGACTCCCCCCACCGAGCGCCCGGCGCCGTCCCCCTTCCTCAGTCTTGGTGCTTCTTGTACTGGAAAACTTGGCTAATGTGTGCTGAGAACAAAAGCCATGCCTGGGCTTGGCAGGCTGGGTTTAGTGAGTGACAGAGGGGGACACTCTCGTGGTGCCCATGAAAACCCCTTTGTTGTATTCACAATTCCTGTGGGCAGCAGCTGAGTGCTTTGCTTGCTTCAAAACTTAAACCCGCTCTTAACCTCTGCAAAGGGACTGAGCCGTGGCGTGGGGAATTTATTCCCTGCAAAGGGACTGAGCCATGGCTTGGAGAATTTATTCCCTGTAGCTTACAGAAGTTGTTTATTGGGGGGAGTTAAATGAAAATGGATTTTAGCAGCTCTGGAGAGCTGGTTGCCAGAGGATCAGTTGCACCAGCAGCTCTGTTTGAGAACGAGAGAAATAAAAGCAACCCTGAAGCAAATGAAACGATTAGCACAGCCAGCTCAAAAGCTGTGGAAAATCATTTATTTATCAAAGGTCAGCCCTGCTTTTCCCTCCCATGCAGGTAGCTGATTCCCTCCCTGACAATCTAGTTGTCTTTCTAAATGACTCACTGGGGGGTTCTGAGGGTAATACTCAGTCTTTATTTCCCCCCCCTAAAGACACAAATTGTGCTTTTAATAACGAGCAGCAAGCATTGGTTTTGATTGGACACACAGGGGGGCCCAGAATTGCTTGTGGCCTCTCTGGAGCTGGCTGGGCTTCCACTGGGAGAGCTGATGTTTTAAATCCTGCATTTGCTCGTGGCTTTTCAGTTCTGCTGTTTCCACAAATGTAGGGAAGGCGAGCGCAGCAGGGCTCAGCCATCGATTCACACACAGGGTATTCATCTCTGCTAATTAGCCCAGCCTTGCTGACCCACACTGAGGGAAAATGAACCATGAAGGGGCAGAAAAATCCAACAGCAAATGCAGTGGCTGGAGCCATTCAGATCTCAGAGCCTCTCCTGCTTTTCCTGGGGAGGGAATTGTACTTTTAGATGTCACTCAGCTGCAGTTCTCCTGTGCTTGGCTCTGTTGCTTTGGGGTCACCCCAGCTTCCCGTGGAGATGCAAGAAAGGGGCCCCAGCCCCCCAGGCACGTGGTTTGGAGGGAGGGAGGGAGTTTTTGGCTGGTGTGAGCCCTTGGCTGAGCCTCCTGCTGTTTTCTCCTCAGGCTGGTGGTTTGTGAGCACGCTGGAGGAGCAAGGCTGGGTGCCAGCCACCTGCCTGGAGGCCCAGGATGGAGTCCAGGATGAGTTCTCAATGCAGCCTGATGAAGGTAAGGAGCTGCTGGAGGCATCTGCCCCAGCTTCCTCTGCTGGAGGCACTGCATCACCCTCCCTGAGTGGGGCAGGGCACGGGCCTGGGGGAGGCAAAACCCAGGAAGCAAACCTGGGAAAAGGGACAAAACCCCAGGAATGGTCCTGCAGCAGTACTGGGGCAGCTGGACACTGCATCCACTGGCCTCTCTGCTGCTCCACAGAGGTGCCAGCTCCCAGGAATGCTCCCCCCAGTGCCTCCCTGCAGCCCAGGGAGCTGTTTTACCTGCCCTGCAGGAGGAGCAAAGCCCAGCTCCTTGGACAATGCATGTGCAGGACAAAGAGCGCACAGTGTGGGAAAGGCAAGGGTCCAGCCTGTCCTTGGAGCAAATCCCAGGTGCCCCTGGATAACAAACAGATCCTTGCCAGTGCCTCTGTGTGCCCAGGGCAGAGCAGGAGCTGGCTCAGCCCCTGGTCTGGGGGGCTCAGCCTGGGGAGGGCTCCAGAGCCTCTGCACCACTCTGTGTGTCAGCCCTGTCTCCTCCTGGACATGAAGTGCCACCTCCTCACGTCCTCTCTCGTCCTTCTCCTGCTCTCCCCGTGCTGTCCCAGTGCCATGGAGGTACTGGTCCCTGCCCAGGCACCTCGGCCGCCGCCGCACCCTCGGGGACTTGTACACCCCTGGATGGGCTCAAGGTGGAGCACAGAGACTTTCTTGGTGCCCCTGTGTTGTGCTTGGAGCCTTGTGTGCATGTTGGTTTGCTGTGCATGTGTCAGCCCACCCCTGCTCCTCAGCCTTCCCCTCCCTCGTGCACGTCCCTCTCCTCTCTCAGCTCCTCCTTCTCATGTTTTGGGCTCAGAAACTGCAGTTCCTGCTTTCCCCCAGCACACATGTGCAGAATTCCTGCAGCTGCTGCCTCAGTTCCTGCAGTAACCTGGGTTGGTGCCTCAGGGTGGGGTCAGGAGGGGAAGGTCCTGCTGGATGTGACAGGACATTCTCTGCTTCGTCTCCTCTGCATGGAGGGGATGGGAAATCAGAGCCTTCCAGAAGATAAATACAGGAAACCTGTGTGGTGGGGATGTAGGATGTCCAGAGGGGTGGATTTTGGAGGCAGAATTTTCCCCAAAAGGTGTACACCCTGTTGTAAAGGCACTGCTTAAGCACAGGCAGTTATTTCCCTGTGTTTCTTCCAGAGAGGAAGCTGAGGGAGAGGGGAGGATGGATGGGACTCATTTGTCTGACATGGCTGCATGGCTTTTAGGATGTTTCTCCTTCCTCCTGAAGGGAAGAACATTCACATTCCTGCTTAACATCCCTTGTTCTGGTGGTCAGGACATCAGGTTCTTCTCCAGGCTCCCCATGTGGCTTTGACCAATGTCCTGGGGATTAAATGGTGATGTTCTGCTGCTCTGGAGGAGTTTGAGGGCACCTCTGTGTGTACCCTCATGCCTGTGGGATTTCTCTCCCCTTACAGAGGATGGTTCCTCTTTAAAGACTCTAAGAATGACATTTGAGCTGAAATGGATGCATGAAAGAGCTTCTGTGTAAGTTGTGAAAAGTCTTTAGTCCTAAGGGAGAGGAGAAACTGTTTTAGAGAACTTCTTGAGCCAGAGCAGCTCACCAAAGTTTACATTTCCAAATACATTTCACTGTCATTTCCCTTTGAATGGTCATGTATCTCTGTGTGTTTGCACCTAAATTACAAGAATTATCATTTTATAAAGCACTTCATAGCCATTGTCCAACTGGGACCAGGTTTCCATCTAAGAGCTCCTCAGTGAAGTTGCTCTTTCTTTCCACCAGAGGAGAAGTACACGGTGATTTACCCCTACACTGCAAGAGACCAGGATGAGATGAACCTGGACAAAGGGGCCGTGGTGGTGGTGACCCAGAAGAACCTGGAGGGCTGGTGGAAAATCAGGTACTGTCCCAGGCACTGCAGCTGGGGCTGTGGGGTGCCAGTCCCAAGGCAAGTCTGTGAGCTGGGGAGGGCAGAGTTCCAGAGCTCATTTCTCTCCATCCTGACAGATTTGATGTTCAAGCACAGCTTTGGCTGAAAATCTTTGAACTGCCCAGGTTTCCTGTGCTCGGAGGTGTGACGGTGTTCACAGGGGTTCTTGGATGAGGGAGATCTGACTCCATGTTTCAGAAGGCTGATTTATTATTTTATGATATATATTATATTAAAACTATACTAAAAGAATAGAAGAAAACATTTCATCAGCAGGCTAGCTAAGAACAGCATAGCAAAGAATGATAACAAAGGTTTGTGGCTCGGGCTCTGTGTCAGCCAGCTGACTGTGATTGGCCATTAATTAGAAACAACCACATGAGACCAATCACAGATGCACCTGTTGCATTCCACAGCAGCAGATAACCAATGTTCACATTTTGTTCCTGAGGCCTCCCAGCTTCTCAGGAGGAAAAATCCTAAGGAAAGGATTTTTCATGGAAGATGTCTGTGACAGGGAGGTGGCTGTGTCCTCCAGCAGAGCTTTAGTGGGTGTCACATCCTGCTGATGGGGAAACCCAGGAATGCCCCAGGCCTGGCTGCATCCCCTGGCTCTGTTGGAGGCTCCTGCAGGGAGTGGCCAGGTCTGGGCCAGCTCTGCTGTGTGCCAAAGGCTCCAGCCCATCCTCAGCTGAGGCTTGTTTTCTGCTGGAAGAAGAAAACATTTTCTCTTCTCTGTGGTGGAGCAAACGGCCGGGCATGCTCAGGGTGGGAGCACACGCTGCAATTTTCATAACCTCACACTGAACCTGTGCTCCTGGCAGCAGCAGAGCCCCAGAAACACATCCACTGCCGTGTGAGGCACGGGAGAGCTGCCACAGGAGCTCCAGAGGCAATTACCGGCTCTGTAGTTGGTGCCATCTGAAGGAGGTGGCTGCAGCCCAGCCAGCAGGGAGGGTCTGGCATGGCAGGGGCACTGTGGATGTGGTTTTTCAGTCAGGTCGCAGGGCTGGTTTCTCTCCTGAACAGATTTAGAGCGCGGAAGGGATCCAGGCTGCCAGCAGGGACAGGGCTTGTGCTCTGCAAAGAGCAGGTACATCAATCCCAGCAGCAGTGCTCTTGTTTTTCCCTCTGCCTTCCCTGCCAGAGCTCTTCACTCCTGAACTGGTGCCATTGCTGAGGTGAAAACTGGGCTTCACAGCATTCCCATTGCTTGGCCCTGGCTGGGGCCAGCTTCTGTGGAAGCATTAGCCATGAGGGAGCTCTGCTGGTGCCATGGAGAGCCTGGCGAGCTCCTGTTGCCCAGAGCTGCCAAAGTGCGTGCTGAGCTCTGGGCTCAGGTTCCTGGTGTGTCCCAGGGGCTCTGTGCGGTGACCCTGCTGTCCTTGTCCCCACAGGTACCAGGGCCAGGAGGGCTGGGCCCCTGCCTCCTACCTCAGGAAGGGCAATGGAGATGGCTTCGCACCCAAGCTGGGCTCCTCGGCTCACTCCAGTGCCCTGGAGCTGGATGGCATCTCCAGGCAGCAGCTGCTGGCCAGCAGGGACAAGGACGGGCTGGGGGGCCAGAGGGACAGCAGGCTGGAGAGCCGGGCCCTGCCCAGCGCCGACATCCGCCGCAGTGAGTGCTGGGTGGGGCGGGTGGGGCCAAACATGGCCTTGGGTGGGCTCAAACATGGCCTTGGGTGGGCTCAAACACAGCCTCAGGTGGGCTCAAACATGGCCTTGGGTGGGCTCAAACACAGCCTCAGGTGGGCTTCAAAGACAGCCTCAGATGAGCTCCAAATACGGCCTTAAGTGGGCTCCAAACACGGCCTTGAGTGGTCTCCAAACACGGCCTTGGGTGGGCTTGAAACACAGCTTTAGGTGGGCTCCAAACACAGCCTCAGGTGGGCTCCATACAGAGCCTCAAGGTGCCCCGAGCAGCTGTGGCTGCCCCTGGAAGTGCCCAAGGCCTGGACAGGGCTTAGAGACACCTGGGATAATGAAAGGTGTCCCTGCCATGACGGGAGGTGGAATGGGATGGGCTTTGAGGTCTTTTCAAACCCAGCCAATTCCATGATTCTGGGTCAGTCCTGCAATGCAAAAGTAATTTCACGTGGCCGCCTCAGCTGCATTTCCCAGGAGAACCTGAAAGCTGGGATACCCTTGAGACCTGGGTAACCTGTGCCACTCAGGATTCTGGGCTGATTGGTTCTGAACTTTGGGTTCTGAACTTTGGGTTCTGAACTTTGGGTTCTGAGCTGATGGGTTCTGGGCTGGTGGGTTCCTCCTTCAGGTTCCTTTCCCTGGGACAGGTTTAGTCCTTGCCTTTCTGTTCTGTCTCTCACTTGTCTGTCATGAACACATGCTCAAAAGCCAGAAACTCAACAGCATCTGGAATTCTTCCTCCACAGAGTCCCCAAAGATGAGGCAGAGGCCACCTCCTCGCCGAGACCTCACCATAGTAAGTGCCAGCTGGTGTGGGAGGGCAGCAGTGGCACAGGGGGAGGGAGGGGAGCCCTGCAAGGAGCTCTGGTGGCTGCTTGGGATCTTGTCCCCATGCCTGGATGTGGTGTCACACCTGCTCTACAAACACACTGATGGCTTTTCTGTTTTCCTGCCCCAGCCCCGTGGTCTGAACCTGCCCAAGCCTCCTGTCCCCCCTCAAGTGGAAGAGGAATATTACACCATTGCTGACTTCCAGACCACCATCCCTGATGGCATCAGCTTCCAGGCAGGAATGAAAGTAGAGGTGAGACTGTCACCTTCCCTTCACACACTCACTGTCACCTCAGGGCAGTGCTCCTGGCTCCCATTGCCCTGGCACCTTTTGGGCAGGGCTCCCCTTCCAGGCCAGGGAGATCTGCTCCCCATGGTGCTCTGGGTGCAAAGCAGGCAAGGTTTTGTCTCTGTTAACACTCCAGACTCTGAGAGTGGGATAAAAACCTGTAGGAGCTCAGGAGACTCTGGCCCCACACCGTTCTTGGTGGCCTCCTGTCCCCCAAGTGTGAGTGCTCTGTTTGAGCAAATGGAAATAAACCCACACCACAAATGGCATTGGAGATGGGAGTTTTTCCTCTTTCTTAGGCCAGGTGTAAAGTTAAAAGCCCTTCCAAATTCCTGGCACACCCTCTTTGCTGGCAGAACCCCTCCTGCAGATGGGATTTTGCTTTCTCTGTGTGCGGATGTGACTTACGCCTCTCTAAGAGGATTTTTCCTTCAGGGCTGCCCCACTCAGCCCCTGCCAGGCCCCAGCCCCACTCCTGGAGCTGCAGACAGGCTGGGCAGGGTGGGATCCACACGGGATCGCTGCTGCTGCTGCTTCATTGCTCCAACAGTGCCACGCTGTGGCCAGCACCCAGCATCCTGCTCCGGGAGGGACAGAGACAGCTCAGCAGCTCTTCCTCAGTCGTCCTCCTTCCCTGGCAGCCAGGACCAGCTGTCCCTCCCCTTAGGATGGGATTCCATGGCTTTTGGCTGGAGCAGCACAAGGCCGTGTGTCACCCTGCCATCATTCTGAGACCCCTGAGTGCAGAGCGGCTGTCTGAGGTCTCTTTTCCCCCTGGCAGGTTATTGAGAAGAACCTGAGTGGCTGGTGGTACATCCAGATCGAGGAGAAGGAGGGCTGGGCCCCTGCCACCTTCATTGACAAGTACAAGAAAACCAGCAACGCCTCCAGGCCCAATTTCCTGGCTCCCCTTCCCAACGAGATGGCACAGCTGCGGCTCGGTGACACCGATGGCAGCAGCGCCAGCGAGGAGGTGACAGGGCCCTGCCGACCCCTGCCAGAGGCTCCTCCCAACGGCATGGACTGCACTGGCAGGTGGGGCAAGGACTGGAAGGGGAAGGAGGCTCCTGACAGCGGGGACCTGTCCTTTGCCGGGGGCTACGAGGAGATCTCGGACCGCGACACGGAGGAGAAGCCCAGCCTCCCACCCAGGAAGGAGTCCATCATCAAATCAGAAGGAGAGTTACTAGAGAGGCAGAGGCCTCCCCCCAAGCCCCCAGGCATGATTTTGCCCATGATCCCACCCAAGCAGTCGGCAGCCCCGAAGGACAGCAAGAAGCCGGAGCTCAAAGCGGAGAAGGCCAAACTCTTCCAGCTGAAGAATGAAATGGGGCTGGAGTGTGGACACAAGGTGTCGGCCAAGGAGGTGAAGAAGCCAAACCTCCGGCCCATTGTCAAGCCAACCAAGCCAAAAGCTGAGCCCGTGGAGGACAAACCTGAGCCCATCACCCAGAACCTGTTCTTGAAGTCAAGACCTCAGATCAGGCCGAAACCCGCCGCGTCCCCCCGGCCTGAGCCACCCCCAGCCGATGACAGACTGGACATTTGCAGCCTGCGGAGCAAGCTGAGACCTGCCAAGTGCCCAGAGAAGCCCTCAGAGCAGGACCCTGCTGCTGGGGAAAGCTCCTTCAGCAATGCCATGCTCTCCTCAGAGCCTTGCGGGCGCTTTCCGGAGCGGCCGGGCACGGAGAGCAAAGCCCTTCCCAAGCTGGACATTGCCCCCAAAGAGGCACTGCCCAAACCTCCCCTGGGCCCAGCCAGCCCCCCGTGTGCCAGGGACGCCCCTCAGCGCCCAGTGGTGCCCCCTCGCAGGCCTCCCCCTCCCAAGAAGATGGGGGCTCCTGCGGCCATGCCCGCCGAGCCCAGGGCCCCCTCACGGGAGGCTCCCGAGGCCAGGCCCTCAGCAGTGCCAGGCAGGCCCATGCTGGTCCCTCCCAAAGCCAAGCCCTTCCTCGCTGCCTGCATGCAGGACGAAGCCAAAGCCAGGAGCAGTATAAACCCAAAGGTCATCTCCAAACCCGTGGAGAGAGGGGAGGCCAGGGAGAGGCCCTCAGCCGCCATGTCCGGGCCCGACGTCTCCAGGGAAGCTCTGTACGTGGCAGTGGCGGATTTTGAAGGTGACGAGGAGACCAACAGCTTCAGAGAAGGGACTTTGTTTGAAGTTCGTGAGAAGAACAGCAGTGGCTGGTGGTTCTGCAGGGTCCTGGCTGGGGGGCCGTGCTGGGAGGGCTGGATCCCTTCCAACTACCTGCGGAAGAAGCCGTAGCTGCTCCACGGCTGGAGGCTCCCTGGTCTCTCACCTGAGTATTTAATGAGCAGATTAATTTATAGTTTTCTGTAAGGCTGGCTTTAAAAGAGAAGATAATAATTGGAGATCCCACGCCTCCCAGCTGGAGGAAGCAGCTCAGCCTCCTCTCCTCACCCCTGTGCTCCCTGTACCCATCCTCCTCCTCACATTCCCCAAAGGACTCGGCTCCCGTGGTTCTCTGTGCTGGGGAGATGGACCTTGAGTGACATTTTGCCACCTCTGTGGTGAACTGGAGAGAAATCCAGCAGCAGCCAGGTGGAATGGAACCAATGCAAGGAATCACAGCAGGATTTGCCTTTCCCTGAAGCTCAGGATCACAGCCAAGAGTTGCAGGTCACGTTGCTTAGTCCAGGGATGTAGCAGAGCCACGAGGAATGTGGCAAAAAGGATGAAATGATTGCAGAGAACATGTTCCTGTAGCTCTGTCTCTGGTTAAGGGCTGTGTGCCATGCTCTCCCTGCACGGGGATCATCCCTTGGTTCTTCCCTGCTCTACGATGACAAGTGTTAACTTCAACATCCTCCTGATGGAAAAAAATAGGGAAAAATACCCCCTCATTTACCAGGTCCTGCTGTGCTGCTCCAGGACAGCTCTCAGGCTTCTCCCCTGCAGTACTGCAACCAAACATCAGAGGGGTTTTGCTTCCGGAGCTGAGGAATTCTATGCAAGGCACAGAGGACCAGAACGACCCCAAAACCCCTGGAAAAGGGAATGCTTTGCTCTCCTCCCCACACAGACTGCCCTGCCTGTTGGACTAGGAGGGGACCACCCCTTCCAGGACCCACTGAGCTCCCCGGGCTGACGGGAGCTGGGTCCTTCCCTCGGTGCTGATTTATCAAGTGCAATCCACAATGCGGGAGCTCAGCTCCTCATCACCACCAGTTCTGAGGTGTGTCTGGTGCTCAGGGCCTGCCTGCCTTGTTTGTCACCCCTCCTGCCTGTCCTCCAGGTCCTTGCATTTCACCCTGTGGGCCAGGTTGGCTTGGAGGGGCTGCTGGGCAAGCAGAGCCTGGGCTTTCTCCATGCTGACATTCCTGCCTTGCCCTCAGTGCTGCTTATCCCAGCAGGAGGATGAGCTGTTGTTCCCCAGTGCTGCTTTCTTCCTTTCTGTCCTTGCCTATTTGCAGCTTCAGGGCCACATTTCTCTCCAGAAGAGCTTTAAACCCGGATGTCTGTGGGTTTCACAGAGTCACAGAATTGTTGGGGCTGGAAGGGACCTCTGGAGATCATCCAGTCCAGCATCCCTGCCAAGGCAGGGTCAGGTTTGGTGTTGACCAAGCCCTGTTGCCCTCTCTGGCCTAATTGCAAGTGTGAGCAATGCAGCCACATTGTTTTGCTGCTGAAAATAATGACAGTTTTCCCTCTAATTTGAGGCTGGCTGAATTGAAGGAGCGTTCTCCACTCCCCCAGATGCTTACTTCCTTCTCTGTCCATGTTTTCCACCCTGGGAATGTGAAAACCCCTCTGTCTGCATACAGAAAAAACAGTGGTCATTCTGGGAGGGCAGTGGGGCAGGTTTATCTGGTAGAGAAATCCTGACCATCCTCATATCCAGAAGCCCCAGAATTCATTTTTGGCGATGGGAATTCACTCACCCCGGTGTGTGGCTGATTCCTCTCCCTCCCACCTGCGGTTTCCTCCGGTGGCACATCAGCCCCTGATGGGCTGACTCACCTGAGCTGGCAGAAGCAGCGCATTTGCAAGGCAGTGCAATAACAAAGCTCCTTGCTGGCACGTCGGGAGGTGTTGATGTGCTCCTGGGTGGGTTGGGACAGCTCTGCCTTGGCTCTGCCTGGCTCCACTCAATCCCTGCTGCTCTGGAAAGGAGTGGGGACAGGATGAGTTAAAGCAGAGCTGCTCCACAGCCAAATGCAGCTCCCTCAGTACGTGGGAAGGGCTGGACCTGTATCCCTGCTCTTGACAGGGGTGGAAGGGCTGTGTGTCCTTTTCCCAGGCACCGTGTCCTTGCTCTGCCTTTGCTGAATGGCCTTTTCATCTCAGCTCTGTCTCAGAGACCTCTGTGCCCTGGCTCTCCTCAGAGAGGGCTCTGCTATTTGTGTGGTCTCATCTCTGGAGGAGGGCTGTTCCCTCTCCCCTCCCAGCCTGAGCCTCAGAACTGGTCGTGCTCCGTTTTCCTGACACAAGTACTGTATTGGCTCACTGAGCATGGGGCAGGAGCTCTCCCTTCCTCCCAAAGAGCTTCCAGGAGGGAGAGCCCGGTGGGATCCCCCTCAGGAGGTCCCCACACCTGCAGCCTTACCCCTTTTCCACCCTCCTGCCTGCCCAGGGGCTGTGGGGAAGGTGCCAGGAGCCGCTGGGCTGCCAGGGCTTTGTCCCCCCTCTGGTTTGTGCTCCTGCAGCCACCTGTGCCCCAAGCCAGGCTGCCTCTCCTCCCTGACCTCCCTGCCTACCTCGTGAGGAGGAGGAGGGTGGCCAAAAGCACCCCAAATTCAGAGGCAGCCCCCCTCCAGGCACAGCCCAGCCTCCCAGAGCAGGGGCTGTGCCAAGGCTTGGGGCCCAGGAGCTGGGATTTGGGGACAGGCCAGGCTGGGCACATCCTGGGTGGGCATCAGCCCTGCAGTGCCCAGCCCCTGCCAGGCTCCCAAAGCCCTGGGTGGGCATCAGCCCTGCAGTGCCCAGCCCCTGCCAGGCTCCCAAAGCCCATTTGTCTGTCCATGTGTCTCTATATTATATAATGTGTATAAATCTCCATTACTGTGGGTGGGTGGGGGGCAGCAGAAGGTAGATGTAGCTGTGTCCATGCCCTGTCTATACCTTCACCTTTAAGGGATGGATTTTTTTATTTTTATTTGCTGGGTTTGATTTTTTTTTCCTTTTGTTTTCCTTTTTTTTTTTAAGAAACAAAAATAAACTGCTTGACTGGTTTCAAGCACCCTGGTGAACCTGTGTGTATGGCTGGTGGAATTCTGGGGTGCTGTTCTTGTGTTCAGGGCTGGTTTGGGGTCTGTCTGTCTGTCTGTCCATCCTGTCAGATGTAGGGTAGGGAGGCTCATGGGGACCTTGACAGCTCCTTGTGTCTTCCTTGGTGCCCAGACTTTATATCGCACCAAATGGGGCAGTGGAGTGTGGAAGTTTTTACTGTGGGCTCAGACCAGCAGAGTTTGGTGATTTTGGAGAAGTGCAGAGAGAGAAGGAGGCACATGAAGGAAAAAAAGGAAAGGGAAAAGGAAACAGGAAAAGGGAAGAGGAAAAGGGGAAAGAAAACAGGAAAAGGGAAAGGAAAAGGAAAAGGCTAGAGGAAAAGGAAACACGAAAAGGAAAGAAGAAAGGGAAGCAGGAAAGGAAAAGGAAGAGGAAAAGGGGAAGGAAACAAGAAATGGAAAAGGAAAAAGGAGAAAAGGAAAAAAATGAAAATCAACCTTCCTGCTATGTCTGTATCACCTTGGCTGCCACAATCCCAGCAGGGCACAGGAGGGGGCCAGGCTGGAGATTGGATAAGAAATTTAGGGCTCTCTGTGACTGCCACCAAACCCTTCCACCTCTGTAGCCCTGCCATACACCCTTGTCCCCCAAACTTCCAAGGATTTGCAGGGTTAAATGAGCCAGCAAAGCCTCCCAGCCCATGGGGGGAGTGAGCAGCCACTGGGCAGTGACTCCTAGGGGCAAAGCAAAGCTCAGGAAAGGTTTGTAAAGTTTTTTTTTATTATTTTGGAAGCCTCTGCCCCTCTGGATCACTTTCCTCACTTTGCAAATCAAGGCTGTCTCACCCCCCCAGCTCAAACTCTTTGAAGCACTCCAGAGCACTCTGTACAAGCCAAAGGTTTATTTGTTTCATAAACAAGTCAAAATTATATTCATGGAAAACAGGTAAATGGACAAAAGGAAAACACACAGCACTGAACACTATAGAGCACTGACATGTAGAGGTGCAGCTCCCTCCCTCGTGCGATGCCCTCCCTCCCCAGGCCCCCCAAAATTTTGCTTGAAAAGCCTAATACAGAGGTCCAAAATCTGATTCAGCTTCAACAAGATAATACAGGTCACAGTATTGAATCATAAAGGTAACAACAAGAGAGGAACTGCCTCAGAAAGGGGGAGAGGTAAAAGAGTTCCCCCATCTCTTTCCTTTCTTCCTTTTTTCCTTAAAATTTCAAACAAAGGTTAAGGAGGAGAGGAGGGGAAAATCCATGGAAATAAACACTTTTTCACTCCTATATATATACATATATGTATATACATATATATATATATATATAAAGCAGGATTCTCAGTGAACACAAAATTCTATAAAACTACCATTGATCTGTGTAGGTTTTCTCCCCCCATCTTTTTTTTTTTTTTTTTTAAAAGTTGCTTTAAAAAGGATAAAAAGTGCACAGACACCCTTATAAGGCACAAACAGATCTTCTGTACAAATCATATATCATTGGACTGTTTAAAAAAAATAGCAATACGAATACTAACAATGAAATCTGTAAGAGGCTACTTTTTCCTGGAAATCTTTTTTTTTTCTTTTTTTTTTTTTTTGAGGCCTATTTTGGAAAATTCCTGTTGCTCTTGGATAGGCAGGGCCACAGGTCCACTGCTCTCCCATCCCTCTTGGTTCCTTGCTGGCCTCACTGGGTGCTGCCCCTTCTTACAAACTGGTTTTGGCTGCTACAGCAAAAATTCAGCCTCTGCAAAGTGTCCTGAACAGCTCCTGGGGTGGATTCGGTGTTTCTCCTTGCTGGCTTAAAAATACAAAACAGAGCAACACCAAAACAACCCCAGCCAGGCTGCACCCACCCTGCTGCTGGAGGCCCTGAGGTGGCACCGAGCAAAGGGGGCTCTGCTCCCTGGAGCACCAAGGGCACCCCTGGAGCTGGGACAGCACCCTGGGCATGGCCCAGCCCTGCTCCAGGCTGGGCATTCCAACAGCTCTCCTTGAATTCCTCCCCTGGGAAAGGCTTCCCACGGCTGGCAGTGCCCAGGCAGGGGCTGACACACCTGGCACTGCTGTGCCCACTGCCCACAGCTGGACCTGGATCTGCCAGCGTGGGGCTGGGACATCCCTGGGAGTGCAGAGCCTGTGCTCCCTGGGGTGGAGGACAGCTGGGAGGTCCAGAACAGCTCCAGGTGCAGGGGATGTGCCCTGGCTCCTCCTCAAGGAAGGTGGGAGTGAAAGGTGCAGTGGCTCTGCTCGGGGTGGTGGCACAGCCAGTGGCACCAAAAAGGGCTCCAAAAAGGGCTCTGCAAAGCCGTTGGGCCCTCGTGCAGGGCCGTGGCTGAGAGGTCACAGCAGCCTCTCCTGATACGCTCAATAAAAATGTTCATCAGCACTCCAAGGAAAAAGCAAAAGGTTTCTGGGTGCCCTGTGAGCACAGCCTGCTGCAGGAGGAGGATGGCAGGGCTGGCACAGGGCTGGCACAGGGCTGGAACAGGCCAGTAGTCAAACCCAGCTCTCCTGGCACAGCCAAGCCCCCACCTGGGCAGCAGCACCAGGCACCCACAGCCTTGGAGGAGAGAGGGAACAGCCAGACATCCTTCAGGCTCCCTCTGTGCCCAGAAGCTCTAAAATGTACAGGAGTTATTATTCCATTTTTTCCCTTTTCCAGACTAAAATGGTAATTGCACCTTTCTGAAAGGCTGTTCTTGTGCACTTGGTAGCACATGGTCATCGAGCTGCAGGGACACAGCTCCTCTCATCCTCCCATTTCCATCATTTTCCCTCTTTATGAGCCTGAAGCAGCTGGAAACTGGCCAGGCTGGGGCTGAAGGACAGGATAGGGGCTGTGCAATGGGCAAAGGACAGAGACTGGAGCAGCAGGGAGGAGGATGCTGAGCTCCTCACACCAGCCCTGGTACTGAACAATCAGGTGCTGCCTGCAGCTGACATTACACCCAATATCCATTTACCTTTGAATTCCCACCATCTAATTCAGCCTGAGCCTTTTTCTTTCCTCCTCAGTAAAGCCAAGTGGGACAGTCCCTGTTTTTCTCAGCAAGGTCTCAGGTACAGTTGAGACCCAGTGTGCAGGCAGCTGGGAGCTGTGCTGGGAAAGAAAGAACAGGTAAAATCAGCAAATACAGTCCCCAGAAATAAAGGTGAGCCTGATGGGACTGGGTCAGAAATTAATTTCTCACCATAGCCTCCAAAAAATCCCCATGGTGGGGCAGGAGGAAGGCTGAGCCCTGCCATGGCACTGGCTGCAGGGGAAGGTCTAGCACAGGTGACAGTCAGGACAGGTGACACAGCAGCTGTGCCACCTCCAGGAGGGCAGAGCAAAGTGCAGGGGTGTGTGCCTGCAGGTGACAAAGCCACCACTGCAGTGTGCCCATCCACACACCCCTGCCACCCACAGGCTGCATTTATGGCTTCAGAAGGCAGCAGGGCAGTGCCCGAGGTGCCCCTCACAGCTCCCTTCAGCTCCGTCACTGCAGGGGCTCTGTGTGGGCTCATGCTCCTCACTGCTACCCCATGGCTCTCAGCCTCCATGGCCAGAAGTCCCTGTTCTGCCTCAGAAAGAAAAATCTGCATTATCTAACCCAGACCAGCTCCTCTATGTCCCCATGAGCCTGTTCATGGGGACAGAACCCCAATAAGTGACAACCTGGCTGTGCCACTATTTGGCCTGAGCTGGTTCTCCTTACAGGACATTTCCAGATCATTTCTGTCCACTTTGAACCCTCCTGCTGGGCTTTATCCCATTTTCACTCCACCACAGCACAAGCCCCTGGCAGCAGCCCAGAGCTGTGGGGTTTTAGGGTCGGGAAGCCCAGTGGCACCTGGCACTGCCCAGTGGCACCTGGCACTGCCCAAGTGACAATCCCCCAGCACAGCAAGCCTCCCCTGCAATGAGAGGAGAGAAAAAAGAGCCTTTGCAGGGGAAATTTCTCATTTGCAGCTGGCTGGGGTCCCGGGCCCCACACGATCCTCAGCTTTGCTCCCTGAATTGTGCCCTAGCAGTCAAATAAGGAAACACAGATAACAGAGCCACTGGATAACGACTGACCAGCACGAGAACCCAGAAGCAGGGACGGAAAGGCGTGGGTTGCTAGCGGCGTTCCCCCTTCCCGCAGCCCCTACGGACGGTAAATTTTAATCACATCTTTGATCACCCGTCGGCAAATGGGGCAGCAGGCGTTGAGCTGCTTCTTCAGCTTAAGACCACAGGTGTTGCAGAGGCACATGTGTCCGCAGGTGTAGATGACGGTGTCCACCTCGCTGTCAAAGCACACGGTGCACTCCCCGTTCTTGCTGCTCGATGGCTCCGGAGGGGAGAAGACAGGAGAGATGGGGGGGCTCAAAGGGGAGCTGGGGGCAGTCACTGCAAAAGAAAAGGGGGAATGAGGTTGTTTGGTCAGCTGGGATGGGGCAAAGCTGACACTGTGTGAAGTTTTCTGGATCACCTAACAGGTTGGGGGAGAATAGGGCTAGGGAGATGAGTAGGGAAAGTATTATACAAATCCTAGAATGTCTTTAATGGTATAGTATGGGTAGAAGGGGATTTTGTCGCCGTCTGAGGGGATGTCTAGTGCGTTATTTGAGCCTGTTTTGTGAGGAAGGTGAGATGGACGAGTGTCAGGCCTATGATGACGAATGGGAGGAGGAAATGGAGGGCAAAGAATGAAGTTAGTGTCAGGTTATCGACAGAGAATCCGCCTCAGGCTCAGTCACACTTAAGGCAGGTTTTAAGGCTGTCCTTAGTCATTGCCTGGTTCTTTGGCCAAATGAATCCCAGTGTATTCCAACGTGCAGCAGTCACAGCTCTGTGCAGAGCCTGTTATCCCTTTTGTACACACGGGGTGGGTGCAATATCCACACATTTTTCAACACTTGTAGGGATGGTGATTCTACCACTTCCCTGGGCTGCTTGTTCAATACCTGACCACCCTTTCCATAAAGAGATTATTCCTTATATTTAAATTAAACCACTCCTAGTGCAACTAGATGCTGTTTCCTCCCATCCTGTCCTGTTCCCTGGCAGCACAGCCCGACCTCCCTGGCTGTCCCCTCCTGTCAGGGAGTTGTTCAGAGCCAGAAGGGTCCCCCTGAGCCTCCTTTGCTCCAGGCTAAGCCCCTTTTCCAGCTCCATTCCCTTCCCTGGACACACTCCGGCCCCTCCATGTCTTTCTCATCTCGAGTGGCCCAGAACTGGACACAAGGTTCGAGGTTCAGCAATGCCAGCACAGGGGACAGTCCCTGCCCTGCTCCTGCTGCCACACTGGGGCTGATACAACCAACGCACAGCCTTCTTCAGGCCGTGAAAACCTTTCCAGCACTGGGTTTTCTTCCCATTCCTTCTGTTGGGCTGGCAGGAGAGGTAACCCCCCTCCCTGGAGCTGAGAGCTGGCTGTCCTTACCCAGCGAGGACTCTGAGGCTGATGAGGACCTGTTGACGCTGAAGGCCATGTCTGAGTCGCTGTCGTACTGGGAGCCACCAGGAGATCCTGAGGGAGACACCGTCCCTGGGCTGGACTGCACCGTGCCTGGGAACACAGGAGAGAGCTGAGCCCACAGAGGGACCCCCCAAACCTGGCCAAAGCCCTCAGCCTGCTGAGCTGCCCCCACCCCACCTGCACAGCGACTTCAGGGCGAGTCCTGAGTTAATGCTGCCCCTTGGTAATGACACAGGGCAAGATTCTGGATGGGAGCCCAGGGTCTGGACCTCGCTATGCCTTTGTATGATGCCTGTTCAGCTTCAGTAAAGCAAGCACCAGGTTATGCAATATTTGCCTTTCCACTTCCCCACAGTCCCACTCTCCCCAGCAGCAGTGGGCTCCAGCTGTGGCTATCACGCTGTCAGCTGGGAAAAGCCATTGCTTTGGATGAAGAAAACCTGCTTTACAAAGGCATTAACATCTGCTATTCTGATTGATTCCTTAACAGAAGGAAAGGAGAATGCCTGGAACCAGTCACCAGCAATGGATCAGAAATGCCAGCTGATCCCTGAGCTGTGGCAGTGCTTCAGGAGCAATTACTGCCCGTGCTTAAACCAGAGCTGTGCCCATAAAAATCACCATCCTTACCAAGGCAGAAGTTTAATACCTGTGGGCTGGAATAGGGAGTTTATAAAGAATCCCTTCTATAAACAAACCCACTGAAAAACACTGTTTCCCCCACAACTACCCCTGTTTATAAAGAATCCCTTCTAAAAACAAACCTACTGAAAAACGGCTGCCCCCCACAACCATCCCTATTTATAAAGAATCCCTTCAAAAAACAAACCCACTGAAAAACAGCTGCCCCCCACAGCCATTCCTGCCTCTCTGCCTGCTGCTCATTTTATCTCTCAAGCCTCATTCTTTCCTGGGGGAATCACAGAGGCTGCACACATCTCTGTGACAGGCGCCGTGCTTTGTCACTCTTGTTTGCCAACACAAGAGCTGCATCCTCCCATCAGTGAACACTAAGTGCGAACCCAGAGCTCTGCTTCTGGCCCAGGAACCTTCCCCAGCCAGGTGCTCCACTGGCTGCACTTACCCAGGATTTTGAGCTGGTTGATCACACCGTGGATGGTAAAAAACACCCAGAGGGACTGTGAGGTGTCCACGCACATGAGCATGCCCCGGCTGGCCCCGTTGACCCCGTGGTGCACCTCTCCGTTGGGCAGGACCATGAAGCTGAGGATGTCACCACTGTTGAGCACTGGGAAGGCCCTGTAAACCACCCAGTACTCCTTACGGTCCAGGAGAAAATCCGGATCCGCCGGGAGCTCGTTTGTCCGCAAAGTGCTCGGATCACACGAGGTGATGCCGAACGAGAGGGCCCCATAGTAGGGCAGCCCCAGGTGTCCAACTTCCACAAAGAGGCTCTCCCCGATGTGCAAAGGCCGGTCAGAAAACACCAAAGTCCTATTGCTCTCCTGCCAGTTGGTGCAGGCCACCATCCTGTCCTGAGAGAAGGTGATGTCGGGGCCGCGGGTGGGGTGGAAGCGCAGGTCGGTGTCCAGGAAGGCCGGGACTCCCTGCGCGTGCTGCCGCCGGCCGGGGCAGCAGGGGATGATGTGGTTGTCAGTCCCAAGCCCTGGCACCCGGCTTAGGTTCAGGTTTGCAATTTTGGCCACCACTTGGTTGTTCTCGAGCTCGTTGTTGTTGAAGTTGGCCGAGTCGTGGTTGCTCTGGGGAAGGCAGGTGCTGAGCCGGGCGGTGCTGAGCCGGGCGGTGGTCATGGTCTCTGCAAACATGCTGTCTGTGAGAGAAACCCAGGCACAGAGGCTTTAGTCAAGAGAAAACCGCCTGCTTTTATGCTTTCAGTTGTTATTGCAGCCTACAGACTCCATAAGGGAAAATCAGCCACGGGTCAACCACTAATGAGCAGCCCCTGGTGCAGAGTCACGCGTGGAGCAGGCAGAGAGTGGCTGCATCTGGCACCAGACAGGAAAAACAAGTGTTCCAAAGTACCTGTGTGATCTGGGAGCTCCCTGCACTGGGAAATGGGGAAAAGCAGTAAACCAGCATGCTCCTACAGCTTTCTGAGCAGAAGGATCTGATAGCTCTGAGGTTACACTATTTAAAAAAAGAAACCTCAATATTTTGTTGTCCCAAGGTCTTGTGCAAGACAGGTGCACAAGTGAGGAACTCAAGGATGAATGGATATTCTTTCCACACTCCTTGTCATTGCCTTACACAGGTGTGTCCCAGAGAGGTCATTTCAAGCCTCATATCTCAGGGGTGTTCACAGCCCTGCAGAGGTTTTGAATGGAGAACTTGTCACAAAAGCTACTTCCTGCAGGTGTTAGAAAGCTTTTACAGCAGAAGGTTGTTTTCCCTTTTCACAGCAAAGGGAAAGTCAGGATGTTGATCCTTAATTAATTTCCCAGGCTTCTACTTGAGCCAGGCCAGGCTTGGGGGGTGATGTAAAGGTGTGGGAAAGTTTGGGAGTGTTCTCTCTTCTACCTCTAACCCTGCTGGAGCAGCCTGGACACTTCAGTCTGGAAGGTTTCATGCACTGAGCAAAGTCAGAGGATGTGGAATTTAAGAGTCTGTGTGATTTACTCTTGGTCTTCACAGAGATGGAGAGGAGTAAAGCAGCCCAGCATCAACACTGCCTTCTACTTGGAGGACAGAACCCCCAGGCTTTTGGCAAAAAAAGGAAAAACACCCAAATCCACCCAGTAGCTGCAAATCAGAACCTGCCTCACTCAGAAGCCCGGGAAGGAGAGGCCACGGGGGTGGGCTGATGGCTGGAGCAGCTCCTTCTCAGCCAGCACAGCTTGTGTGGCAAGAAATGTTCCCACACAGGGGTCAGACACATCCAAGCTCCATGATGGATGTCCCATCCCTGGAAGTGTTCAAGGCCAGGTTGGACAGGACTTGAAACAGCCTGGGATAGTGGAAGATGTCCCTGCCCATGGTAAGGGGTTGGAATGAGATGATCTCCAAAATCCCTTCCAGCCCAAACCCTTCTGTGATTATGATGCTGAAAGACACATTTTATGCCTCAGAACTGGATTTCACAATTTTCTCAATTCACAATATTTTGTGAGGATGAGGCAGAGACAAGCAGATCCTCAAGCAAGGAATTCAGGTCCCCTGGTGCCCCAGGTGGCTGAGCATGGCCCTGATTCCTGGGGCAGTGTGGGGGGTTTGATATTTTAATAAAGAAAACCTCCCAGCAGAGTACAGGTGCTCTCAGCCTGAGTCTTTCACTGGGAACTCTTGGATGCTGCAGGCAGGACTGAGGTGGAGAGCAGAAAGAAGCTGCATTTTATTTTTCAAACTCCAATTTAATGAGGAGAAAGGAGAGCTCTGGTGAAGCAGCTGCCTTGGCCAATACAGCAAACATTCCTTCTCCTCTGTGACGAGCACCAGAGGCTGGAGTGTGTCACAACTGCAATTACAGGACAAGCTGCTGGTGAGGTTTAATTACACATTGGAGGCACAGCAGACAGGGAAAAGCGTTGTTTATGTGTGGCCTTCTCGCCTGTAAAATAATTGGCACTGTTCAGAAGGATGTGTGATGGAGCTGCCTGCCCTCTGGACTCACCATTCCACAGCTCATCCCTGGTGCCTGCTCCATGCCAGGCTGGCAGCACCATCCCCTGGGGCAGGTGCAGCTGCCTTGGGCTGTTAAAGCTCCATCAGCTCCGAGGAGCCTCCGGCAAAGGGCAACTTTCTTGGATTTTTAGTGTTCCCTGTGGTGCAGCCCAGTTCAAACACTCCATCTAACGCTGAATTAATTAGAAATTTCAATGCAGTAAAAGCCTCAAAAGGAAAATCATTCCATGGCCATCAGCTGGGCTTGCTAATGGGAACAGATTCATCCCATCTTGCAGCCCTCCCTAAGGAAGAGGCTGTAAACCAGCCAGACTCCACCTGATTCCAGGGCTCTGAGTGATGTCCCTGTGCCAGGGAAGGGTCACAGTGCCAACACAGCCCCTCAAACTGCCAGCCTGGGTGGGACCACGGCCAAGAGCAGAGAGAGGGGCTGGGGAAGGGCTCCAGGAGACTCTTGGGCAATTACTCGTAGTTTTCCAATGGACTGGCAGTAACTGGTAGCTGGGAAAGAACAGACTAAGTCACAACTGGTCCTTTTTGTCTCCTCAATCCTTGGGACCTTGCTCCATGTTTTTTCATGCCAAAGCAGCACATCCAGCTCAGGGAAAGCTGAGTGGAATTACAGGTAAAGATTTCCATTTATCCCTTCACATAATGTGCAGCCTTAGGACTTTTCATCACTGCCATCTCTGGAATATATTGCTACTGCTGACAGAGGAAAAATGATTAATTGGCGGTACAAAACCAACAGCAAATTAATTTTCTTAAGTGTCCCATAGAAACACTCACACAGATCATGCATCAGAAAGAGCAAGCAGAAGAGCAGCCCAGAGGCCACAAAGACACACTCACCTAGAATTTGCACTTCGTGGGTAATTCCATAGACGTCTATGAGCGCCCAAAGAGGCCCGGAAACTTTAATACCACAGTGAAACAAGATGGGCTCCTCGTCGTTAATACTGTAGAAGACTCTGCCGTGCCGGTCCACCCAGAAGGCCAAGATATTGTCCCTGACCGCAAACCTCTCGGGCAGAGCCTTGGCCCAGTAGCCGGGCCGGGTGACGAGGTCGGGGCAGGCGTACTTTGGTATCTCCTCGGAGCTCATCTGCGAGGGGTCGTGGATGGTGAAGCCGAAGCGCAGCGCCCCGCTCCAGCCGTGGTGCACGGCCACCAGCTTGAGGCGCACCTTCTCGTAGAGGTGGATGGGCCGGTTGGTGAAGGTGACGCCGTTGCAGAAGCTGTTCCTGCGCGTGGCGCGGCGCGAGTGCGCGTCCAGCCGCACGTTCTTGCCCTTGGCCTGCGAGTGGAAGCGCGGCGGCTCCGCCAGCGCCAGCACCGAGCGCCGCTCATGGCTGCTGCTGTTGGGCAGGCTGTAGTACGGACGGCTGGACACTGAGCGCGCCTGGTGGCTCGTGTCTGCAAAAGGGACAAAGGACAGATGTCAGCAGGGCTGGGCTCAGCTGGGTGGGATTTGCAGCGCTCTGGCAAGAGATGGAGTGTCACAGGATCTCACAGAATCACACAGAATCGCGCAGAATCTCACAGAACCAGAATCTCACACAGAATCACACCGAATGACCAGGTTGGAAGAGACCTTCAAGATCATCCAGTCCAATCCAGCCCCAACACCTTAACTAAACCCTGGCACCCAGTGCCACATCCAGGCTTTGTTAAACACACCCAGGGATGGGGACTCCACCACCGCCCTGGGCAGAACACTCCAGAACTTTATCACCCTTTCTGTAAAAAAATTTTTCCTAATATCCAACCTATATTTCCCTTGGTGCAGCTTGAGGCTGTGTCCTCTGGTTCTGTCAGTGCTGCCTGGAGAAAGAACCCAACCCCCCTGAGCACAGTCACCTTTCAGGGAGCTGTAGAGTGATAACATCACCTCTGAGTCTCCTTGTCTCCAAACTAAACACCCCCAGTTCCCTCAGTCGTTCCTCATAGGGCTTGTGTTCCAAGCCCCTCAATATTTCACCTTAGCCACAACCTGCTCTTTGCTGTCCCAGTTTGGCCCTCAGCTTTCTGCAGAAACATGTCAAGCAAGGGTTAGGCAGCTTCCCTGCAAAGCTGGAGAGGAAGGAACGTCCTTTGTTCCCATCAGATGCTTCCTACTGCCCTCAGAAAAGCCCAACATCTGCAGTTCCGAGTTTCCTCCTTGCAGAGCACGTGCTGTTAAACTCACATGGTGGCCAGAGACAGGAGCTCTGAGGATTGTGGCTGCTGAAAATCACAGATGCTAGAGGTGAGCATGGTTTTAGGAGATTTTTATGGGACATGCACCTACCAGCTCCTCTGTGCCCTGATTTTGTAATGATGAACAGGAACTTTTGACCAGCACAAATAATCCAAGACATTCAGCAGCTGGAGCACCTCTGCAACACCAGACTGTTCCTCCCAAACCTTCAACCCAGCCCCTGGCTCATATATCAGATACAACTGGCACATTCAGGAACATTTCATCCTTGCCTTTACCCAGAAGCTCCCATTTGAGCTCAAAGCACTTGATAACTGATGATTGTTTTCAGCTTCACAGCACCGCAGATGGCACAGAAATCCTACCATCCTCCTTTTACAGATGGGAGAAGGAGAATTGATGGGTGAGATCTTGCAGCATTTAAAGTCAATAGCAATTCTGAGACTGACTTCAAGAAAAGCAGATTTGGGACCAAAAGTGAGCTTCACACAGCCATGAAGCAGAAATGAAAAATAGCTCAATTTGGGTTTTAAACCTTAGCTAGAAGCTCCCTGAGGTGGAGACAATGTCTTGTTCATATCCCTGAGCACATGGGGACTTGCTCCAGGTCCTGGGCTCCCACCACCACCATGGTGTTCCAGAAAATTTGGTCTCCCCATTCCCCACCCACTCCACCTCTCCTCCTGTCTCTGCACCTGGCTTTGTAGATGTTTAAAGCAAAAATGGAACACATCCTGAATGCCCAAAGCCATCCTGTTAAATATAAAACCCCATCACATGCTCACAATTATTCTGAACACTTTTGCCATGCTTGAAGCTTTAACAGCCACCTGCCAGGCCCTTCCTTCAAGCTGCTCCCTCCCTGTGTGCAACCCCAGGCTTTGCTTCATGACAAGGGAAGGATTTTCTGTCTGTTGGAAAAAAACCATCCTGGGAGCTCAGCTGGGCGAGCTGGCAGGAGGGCTGCAGTGGTGGCAGCTTTTTTTTTGGAAGCAAAAGCAGAGCAGACAGGGCAGTGAGAGGCTGGAACCTGCACTAAGGCACTGAGCAAAGAGAAGAGAGGGTGCAGCAAGATCTGAGCACAGGATTAGCCCTTCAAATCAGGCACCTGGAACAGGAGTCAAAGGGCTATGAAGGCAAAAAGCTCCTGTTTGCAGTAAGATATAAATAACAATCAATAGGTGTTTTGTCTCTTGGTTTGTCCTGCACGTGACAGTCGCTGTGCAATGGTTAATCCTGTCAAACACCGGTGGAAATTAATACATCCTTGCTCTCAGCCAGTGAGGGGAGGGTGCCAGTTCCATGCTAGGGCTGTGAAATGAGCCCTGGAGCAGATGGGGAAGGGAAAATCCTCCCCAGGTGCTCAATCCCCCTGCCCAGCACAGCACACAGCACCTCTGCTCCCAGCAGAGCAGGGTTCCCCAGGAAGGGACATTTCTTTCTGTATTTCCAGGAGAAATCTCATTCCTTGCCTGCTGAAGAGCTGAAATGCAGCAATGGCTGCTCCCAGCACAGCCCACCCCTGCTCATGTGGGTGCTGCTCCATGTGTGTGCCTGTCAGCACTCCTGACAAACAGAGTGCTGCCAAGGGACCGGGGTCTGGGGGCTCCAGGCAGGGACCCAGCCAGCACAGGGCAGGGTGGAGCCTCTCCTGGCCTTGTCCCCCATCACAGCACCCCATTTTCCATGAGCATTCACACAGCCTTTGTGCCCTTCAGGTGGGACCTGGGTCCAGCAGGGCTGCGATGGATCCCAAGGGGCTCCTAAAGGGCTGGGTGGGCTCTGTGCCACCTCACACCCTGCCTGGCTGGGCAGAGAAACCCTCATTTTGTAACCCACTGAGCTGCCTTTTGTTTGTAAAATGGTTAAAAACAACCCCCCTGTTGCTGCAAGTGCCATGGCCTCACATGGCACTTTCAACAACATGAAGAATGGAAAATGCCATGGCATTGGGAAAGGGGATTTTGGGGATAGCAGAGAGGGGAACAAAATCTGTCTTCCCTCCTTCCTCCTGCCATGGCCCCACATTGGCCAGCAGGAGGAAGGAGGGAAGACAGGTTTTGTTCTCCTCTCTGCTATCCCCAAATTCCCCTTTCCCAATCCCACTGCAGCACCAGCCTTCCTCCCACAGCCCCTGATGAAGAAGAGACCCCTGCCAGGGATGCGATGCCCTGGCACTGCTCCCAGGCAGGTTCTTCTCATGCCCTTCTCAGAATACACGCAGGAACAAGGTGGCAGCGCCAGTGCCACCAGTATGAGTGACAGGACAAGGACACTGGCACCCACTTCAAACACAGCTTTGGGTCCACCCTGCCAGAGGGGGACTCGGGGTCGGGGTCTGGCACTTTTTTGTTTTGTTTGTTTTGTTTTGTTTTTAAAAAACAGGAAAGCATATTGTGGCTAAACAATAGGAAACGCTGGGACGGAAATGAAGGGATAATTTATTTATAACGCTGTCCCCCCTTCACATGAACACCTGCCTGTGGAATAAAGCCTGCCACCACCCGAGGCAGGCAGGCAGAGCTTTCCCACTGAAACACGCCTGGGGCTGAGCTGGGCCATGTGCTTTACTCATTAGGTGCTGACGGGGACTCCAAGCTCAACAGGATGTTTGCGCCTTTCAATTGTGCCTTTCAATTGCCCTAATTTGCAGCTCGGCTTCCACACTTTGGCTCGGTTTATTCCCTCTGCTATTGCTCCAGAGCCTCTCCTCTCCCGGCTGTGCATTCCCACCCTAAAATGGGATGACACAGCCAAGCTCGTGGCACAAGAGCCACCCTGCCCAGGGTGCCTGACAGGCAGTGAAGAGCTACGCCAACTCTTTTTTTTAAGCTGTGAGATTCCTACAACTCCTGGGAGCAAGTAATTTCTTCTCTTTCTGCCTCACTTCCCTGTCTAAAATAGAGTAACACCATTCCTCCACTTCATGGGCAGCTAAAAGGATGGAAAAATGTAAGGCTCTCAAACATTTCAACCCCTGAGCCCTGCGAGCCTGTGTGTATCACCACAGGGGATACAAACCCACTGAGGGATGCCTTGAGCTTCCATCCCTCTTTTTATTCCAGTTCTCCGTTTTTCATCCCCACTCTCACCAGTTTCAAACAAGACACTCACAGCACATCCCTCAAACATAAAAGGCAGGAAAATGGAAGGAAAAGCTGAAGTGAAGTGTGAAGAATGGTCTAAGGCTCCTCACTGAAGGATAAACCCTTATGGCAAGGCAGCATTTCCATCCACATCCTTGTGGTATCAGATGACACTGAGGCAGATTTGGGTTCTGGGGGCCCGTGTCTCATCTGAAGCTTCACCTGCTTTCCAAAAGGCCAGCACACTCATTCCAGAGGTTATGCTGACCTTTGGAGAGGTATTTTAACAGACATGCACTTTGCATTTCAAAAAGGTACAGCAGGCAGACCCTGGACAAATTCCACATATTTATCATGGTTCCAGTTCTAAAAATAAACATTTTTTTTCACCCATTTGTTTGCAGTGGCACTGTAATCCCACTGACAGCAGCAGACAGAATTCAGCTCCAGAGCCCTGTCTGAGGCTGCTGCTCTGCCTGGGGCGTGGGATGGAGGAGGCTGCTCAGCTGGGGAGTGACCTCGAGCCAGATCCATCCTGCCTTCACTTGCCCTGACAAGCCAGGCAGGAATGATACCCCTAAAATGGGGGAGAAGACAATAATGCTGAAGGAGAGCAGAGCTACAGCGAGAGCAGCCTGACAGGAGGAGGAGGAGGAGGAGGAGGAGGAGGAGAGCGCTGCGTCCTCATGCGTCACCGGTAAATCCATGGTCTGCACCAGAGACATTCCCCGGCTCCCACAGCCTGCTCCTGAGGGCCTTTCCCAAGTAAATCCATGACAGAAGACCCAAAGGAGCCCAAGGAGCAGTTTGGTGCCAAACAGGGCTGTGCAGTGGACACAGAGAGGGAAAAATACTGGGACCATCCACAGCTGGCAGTAGACACGGCTCATGCTGAGGGAGCATGGTCTGCCCTTGGTCAGAGAAAGGCTGGGAGCTTCAGAGAAAAGCTGAAAGGGTTCAGAGAAAGGCTGAGAGGTTCAGGAGAGGCTGAGAGGCAGCAGCATGCAGCCTGAAATTCATCTCTGGAGCCTCGTGCCCAGTGAAAGGGAATCCACCAAACACACCCACGGCTTATCTTTATGGGCTCTGCTTTATCTACAGCTCTGAACCTCCTCCTATCCCAGCAGATA